GCTGCATAGTTACGCTGTTCATGCTCAAACTGTAATGTGTGAAAACTGCCAGTTACTAGTACTGCAATGCAAGTCGTGCAAGCATACTCGTGAAAGTGATGCGAAGAAGAGGAAAATATCACCAGGTAACCTTTCCAATGTAATCGTTACCTATTAACGCCTCGAAACTGCGCAACTCTTCCTGACTGTGAATCAGATAATGGCGCAAGCTCTTTTATTATTTTAGAACTCAAAATATAAAAACATGAATGATGCAAGAAAGAGTGGTTGGTACTCATCACTTCTGATGGACAAACAACATAGCGTCTATTGCTCACAGCGCCCCCCTCCCCGGCCTTTTTTCCTCCAGCGGTATACGGATGTTGTCTGGAGTGCTCGTACATCTATTGCTACATGTACCCCATCTTACCCCCAGCGCCACTGGTATGTGTTTGTCTCTAGTTTTTGTCTAGTGTATCGGTACACATATTGGTGCCGGTACTAGAAACGGTATCCCCCGCCCGCCCGACCTGCCCCCTGGAGGCCGCCAGCAGAGTTGACTCCCCTAGGATGGGAAATAATTCAACATGGCGGAGACACATACAGAGGAATATTTCTGCTCGCATTAACCGGGTACAGATCTCCCAGACAGCGGTTTTTTCTTATTTTTTCGTCTCTACACTTTATATTTTACACGTCAGTTCGTCTGCATAAGTATCTAATCATCACAGGAAGTAATTTTAATGTAATTACGGCCAACATTCACGTGTTAGTTTGGATGGCTGCAAGGAAAGGATCTCTCGGCATCCTCCAACCGACGCTTGATGTTCGTTTCTTCGTCCGTCCGTCCATTTGCAGACTTGTCTCACTTGCCCGTATCAGTTTTATAACCGTAGTAACTTCTCCTCTTGTCTTGTGTTTGTCACTTAAATGACTACAAGGCGACGTTTTCCAGTCGGTTTGTTGTAATCCAGAAGTGGACGGTGTGTGTGTGATAGTAGTACACACTTTAACGGCCAGCCGACTCCAGCTAGACTCACTCTAGCGAGGGAAAACTAACCATTCAGAAATTTACCATTAGTGTGATACATTGATGATTGATAAATAGACGTAATACTTTAATAAGATCGGTACTTCAGTCCAGTTTTCTCAATTATTTTTAAATAATATTACAATCAATCATAAGCAACATGAAATCAGCTTGTAAAATTAAAAATGGAATCCAGTCCAAGTTATTTTTAATTTTAAGCCTCTAACTACATCAATTAATTGTAAGCCAAGCTGAGATATTATTTTTTAAGCTAAATTAACATCATATTATATTTATATAAATTATGGCTATCCTCCCAATAACGGTCAATAATTATCGGGGCGAAAAATATACCCTAACAGGGCCTCAGTCACGTGTCAATTGTGCAGTTCCGACGTCTTAAAATACGAGCTTCCGGCGACTTCCACCACCGCTGAAATACGAACTTTCGGCACCTTCCGCCACCGCCGAGAGTGTCCCCTGCGCGGCTCACGCGGCGTGGATTGGGGCTAAACTAGACTCACGAGCAGCAGCTGCAGCATCTCCTGCAGCTTCCTTCATTTTATTTGCTCGTGAGTCCCAGCCATCTAGTTTAGCCCCAATCCATGCCATATGAGCGGCATGGGACACTCGGCGGAAGTTCGCAATTTGGCGGTGGCGTTATAGTCCCCGGAAGTGCGCAGTTTGCACATGACTGAGGCCCTGTTAGGGTATATTTTCCGCCCCGATAATTTACGACCGTTATTCGGAGGGTAGCCATTATAATGTAATAGAAAAGGAAAACACTTTAAGAGTACTTTCAGAACATGCGTTTTAACAAACTCTTGTTTTTTGGACATATATCTTAGCACCTGTAAATCACTATGTTTATGACAGACTGATGGAATACTAATCTAGGCTAGCCTCTAAATAACGATCCCAAATTATCGAAACCGGAAATATACCCTAACAGGGCCTCAGTCACATGTAAATTGCAGACTTTCGCAATTTACATGTGACTGAGGCCCTGTTAGGGTATATTTTCGGCCTCGATAATTTGTGACCGTTATTCGGAAGCTAGCCAACTATTGTATCTTCAGTATTGACAGTATACAACTCACGGCGCTGTCTGCCACTAATTGTTATTGTAGCCGCATACACTATTTGATATAACTTAAATTTTAAGAATTAAGTTGAAAGAATTTTATTTTCAGCAACTTAACCATTTCAAACCATGGATGCGGAATTCAATATTGTAAGAATTAATGTTTAATATGCATAATTTATGAAAGTATTTTCATAGTCTGGCTGTTACAAATCACAGCGCCATTTATCGCTGTAGTACTGACATGCTGTACCATACACTTTAAGAATTACTTTTACAGAATCTTTTTCATAAACATTTTTTCTTCTCCAAAGGTCTGCTTACATCCTAAATGAACAATAAATATCTTCACACACACACACACACAATTACTGCCAAAGCAGTTTATGTATTCAGTTGCAGCATATGTCCACGAAACGTTATCAACTTATCAGGTCAATTCTGCACAATTGAAATAATTGTAGATTTTTACTCACCAAATACGCACTCTTTTGATTTATTTGCTATGCATGACACATGTCTTCCACAGCTGTTTGTTTACATTGACAACTGTGTGACTAGTTATAAATAGAGGTATTTCTTCTCCCCCCCCCCCCCCCCCCCCCCCCCCAAAAAAAAAAAACGTATGCACAGTATTTGGCCAGCAGTGAAATGTATCTACATGTAAGATATGTGCGTCTTTGACTACATTATGGTAGCAGTATGTTGCCTGGAGTTTTTAAAAATAACAGCCTTTATAAACATATTGATACTAAATGTATTCAGACACGAAGATATGCACACAAGTTACATTTGATATATGAAGTCACTACAGTTGCTCAAAGTGATTCCCATTAGCCTTCAGTGACTTTTCTTAACAAGTATACAACACATTGTTACTGTAATTAAATCTGAATATGGTGGAATTTGTGACGTAATGGGGAAGTTTTTACACAAGTAGCCACTGGGAAAATGTTTATGCATTTGACTGCTAGGATTTTACTGTGTACACATTTTCTTTTGGTTAAGTCAGCACAAAGAGTGAAAGTTCCACGGTCGCTAGTCTAGTGTTGGCAAGTTGTTGAATGTTGAAACAAAGAAGTTCCACTGCCACTAGTCTAGTGTTAAGTTGTTGAATGTTGAAACAAAGAAGTTCCACTGTCACTAGTCTAGTGTTGACAAGTTGTTGAATGTTGAAACAAAGAAGTTCCACTGCCACTAGTCTAGTGTTGACAAGTTGTTGAATGTTGAAACAAAGAAGTTCCACTGCCACTAGTCTAGTGTTAAGTTGTTGAATGTTGAAACAAAGAAGTTCCACTGTCACTAGTCTAGTGTTGGCAAGTTGTTGAATGTTGAAACAAAGAAGTTCCACTGTCACTAGTCTAGTGTTGACAAGTTGTTGAATGTTGAAACAAAGAAGTTCCACTGTCACTAGTCTAGTGTTGACAAGTTGTTAAATGTTGAAACAAAGAAGTTCCACTGTCACTAGTCTAGTGTTGACAAGTTGTTGAATGTTGAAACAAAGAAGTTCCACTGTCACTAGTCTAGTGTTGGCAAGTTGTTGAATGTTGAAACAAAGAAGTTCCACTGCCACCAGTCTAGTGTTAAGTTGTTGAATGTTGAAACAAAGAAGTTCCACTGCCACTAGTCTAGTGTTAAGTTGTTGAATGTTGAAACAAAGAAGTTCCACTGTCACTAGTCTAGTGTTGACAAGTTGTTGAATGTTGAAACAAAGAAGTTCCACTGTCACTAGTCTAGTGTTGGCAAGTTGTTGAATGTTGAAACAAAGAAGTTCCACTGTCACTAGTCTAGTGTTGACAAGTTGTTAAATGTTGAAACAAAGAAGTTCCACTGTCACTAGTCTAGTGTTGACAAGTTGTTGAATGTTGAAACAAAGAAGTTCCACTGTCACTAGTCTAGTGTTGGCAAGTTGTTGAATGTTGAAACAAAGAAGTTCCACTGCCACCAGTCTAGTGTTAAGTTGTTGAATGTTGAAACAAAGAAGTTCCACTGCCACTAGTCTAGTGTTAAGTTGTTGAATGTTGAAACAAAGAAGTTCCACTGTCACTAGTCTAGTGTTGGCAAGTTGTTGAATGTTGAAACAAAGCATCCTGTTTGACTTAATCTGCAACAAGACATGTGTCTAATGTTAATTTCCTGGGCACGTGTATCACTCACTGGCAAGGAGTCCTTGAAGGGCCGTTTCCAATTCTTTGAATTTGGTATCATTCTAAATGTTCAGATGGATAAACTAGATCAGGTATTCATAAAATAGGATTTAAAAAAAAGAAAAAGAGACCCTGTTAATAATTTCAATACTACAAATTTTACAACATACAATAGATCCTAAGTTTAAAAACAAAGTGTTTTTGAAAATAAATGTTTGTGTCATAGATCATCACTTAAAAGTGTGCTAGACAGGCAGGCATATGTAGTGGTAATTACGCTAACATCGATTATTTATATTGAATGATCAATTTACTTTAAAACATTTTTCTCCATGGAAAATTGTAGACATTAAGTACTTCATAATTGTCCTGTTGCGCCATTTTATACATCACATGGCTAGCAGACACACACAGAATACAAACAATCTGACATATGTAGAGAAACACATACAGTCTGACACACAGTCTCATGCACACATACACTCTGACACCCATACACGCACACACAGAATACATAAAACCAGACAGAACACTGCAGACCTAGTCAACCATTGAGGTGACACCAATAACACGACCCAATGAGCTCTCAAAAATTGTCTTTGCTTGAACTGTTTCCACAGAGACAGTGATTGTGTTGATTTCAAGAATGACATCTAAGATGACACTGATACTTGAGTGAACTTTACCTGCTTGAAGCCACCAACACCCTTGGAGAACTAGAGACTTGTGTTCTGCAGTAACCTCCGTCAGCCAGGAGAAAATGTTCAACTGGAACGGCCCAATGAGAGGGCCTGGGTTCCCACAATCACAGCCCATGATGCCCATGTCTGGCTCACACATGTCCCAGATGTCTTACCAGGGAGGCCATCCACAGTGGGGTCAGCAGGCTGGTATGGGCATGATGATGGGTCTAGGGTGGACCCCAGCCAACCAGGCACACATGTTTCCCCAGATGATGCCTGGGATGGTCAGCATGCCGGTCACCCCAATGATGGGCGGTTTGGGACCGGCAGGCAGCATGGCCCCTGCACCCCCTTCTCAGCCACCGCCCCCATTACCTGCGGAGCCACCTCCACCATCACCCAGTGCACCTAGAGCCAGGGTAAGTATGTCATGTAATAACAGACATGGACTCACACAGACAGGGACTCACACAGACATAGACTCACACAGACAGGGACTCACACAGACATGGACTCATACAGACAGGGACTCACACAGACAGGGACTCACACAGACAGGGACTCACACAGACATGGACTCACACAGACAGGGACTCACACAGACAGGGACTCACACAGACAGGGACTCACACAGACAGGGACTCACACAGACAGGGACTCACAAAGACATGGACTCACACAGATGTGCACAAACACAGATAGAGACAGACACTTATATCGCACAGCTCTCTTCTTTATATGTCTGTCACACCCAGGTTTGACTTTTCCTACAGGAGGATTCATTTAAAAGAGTATAGACAAGTGTCACAACTATAGGAGAGCCCTAGGAAGGGTAGGGTTCCTATACAGGAGGTATCTTCAGTCTATAAGTGTGGCTCACTAGAAGTATGGTACTTAATTATCTACTAGGGTAGAAAGACCGAGATATTACTCCTGGGACAGAGGACAGGAAGATAAGTCTACCCTGCTCCGATGGGTGGTGCTAGGCCGACTAGGTATCCTGGTGGCAACTCCTCTGCCACTTTTAAAGAAAGAGCCCGCCAGAGAAAGAAAGCTGAAGAATGCCCCCCCTTCTCGCTCACTCAATAATAGCACACACAGCAGCAAAGACAGACGAGGCTAGTTAGTGAATGAAGAATGATGTCGCTTTAATTTTACTACAACTGACCGGCCTAAAAATTGACAGTGGTTTGGTATTTGATGTTAAACCAAATGGTTATCATCATCAGGTAAGAGAAATGTCTACTTGCTCCAGTTCCTTCCCCGCTACGAAGTACAGCTCACCCGTGGATACCTCCAGAAGGTTGGACTTGATGGGGGACAAACCGGAACAAACATCTGGCTTCTTGTAGATCTTATTTCTGTGATATCCTATTGTAGATAATCCACCGCTGATGTTCTTAAAGTTCAGATACGACACGTAAGGTTTAGAAAGGTCAGACCACTTGGTCTGGTTAAAAATACGACTAGTAGTCGGTTATGAAAGATGCCATTGCCAAAAACTGTCTGAGGAAGTCTGTTGCCGATTTGTATGGGAAATGACAATGTCTACAGGTGTGCTGATCGTTGTTTGTTGGTGTTATCCCAAAAGGTGCTGGGGAAAGATTGAGTAAAAGCTCAGTAAATGAAAGTGAGGTTAAGCAGTCATGAGCAGGACGTGTTGATTTCATGAGCTGCTGGTTCTAATGGGCCCCTAGAATTTAATACTGAAATTACAAGTTCAAGGTCTTTCCTGTACGTTCCCTTACGATGGTTTACCACAGTGTACTTGGTTTTAAATATTAGACTGCAGTACATAGACTTGAGTGCATCTCTTAGACACAGGTTGCCTAGAGGTTGACTATTGCACATCCCAGAACATGTCACCTTCATACATTAGTCCCCCATCTTATCCCTCGATAATATAATGCTACATTAGTGGTGTCATGTTTTTTTGTTCCACCCCCAGAAGTTTCACCATTCCACCCAAACCACAGCCAGCACTTACCCCACTCACCATCCACCGATGCAGCCGCTGTCCAGCAGCCAGGCAAGTCCAGCAAGTGGGATCAGGCCAAGAAAGACTCAGCTCAGGTTAGTGAGAACCTATTGTTGTAGCATGATACTTGTACTTCTGCAACTGTCAACACTTGCTGTATGTAGAGGAGAGAACTAAACTTGTACTTCTGCAACTGTCAACACATGCTGTATGTAGAGGAGAAAACTAAACTTGTACTTCTGCAACTGTCAACACTTCGCTGTGTGTACGAGGAGGAGAACTAAACTTGTACTTCATGCAACTGTCAAACACATGCTGGGTATGTAGAGGAGAGAACTAAAAATTGTACTTCTGCAAACTAATGTCACACTTGCTGTATGTAGGGGAGAGAACTAAACTTGTACTTCTGCAACTGTCAACACTTGCTGTATGTAGAGGAGAGAACTAAACTTGTACTTCTGCAACTGTCAACACTTGCTATACTGTTTTCCAGTGTGTAGAGGGGAAAACTAAACTTGTACTTCTGCAACTGTCAACACTTGCTGTGCTGTTCTCCAGTGTGTAGAGGGGAGAACTAAACTTGTACTTCTGCAACTGTCAACACATGCTGTATGTAGAGGAGAGAACTAAACTTGTACTTCTGCAACAGTCAACACTTGCTGTGTGTAGAGGAGAGAACTAAACTTCTACTTCTGCAACTGTCAACACATGCTGTATGTAGAGGAGAGAACTAAACTTGTACTTCTGCAACTGTCAACACATGCTGTATGTAGAGGAGAGAACTAAACTTGTACTTCTGCAACTGTCAACACTTGCTGTATGTAGAGGAGAGAACTAAACTTGTACTTCAGCAACTGTCAACAGTTGCTGTGCTGTTCTCCAGTGTGTAGAGGAAAGAACTAAACTTGTACTTCAGCAACTGTCAACACTTGCTGTGCTGTTCTCCAGTGTGTAGAGGAAAGAACTAAACTTGTACTTCAGCAACTGTCAACACTTGCTGTGCTGTTCTCCAGTGTGTAGAGGAAAGAACTAAACTTGTACTTCAGCAACTGTCAACAGAACTAAACTTGTATTTCTGCAACTGTCAACACTTGCTGTGTGTAGAGGAGAGAACTAAACTTGTATTTCTGCAACTGTCAACACTTGCTGTGTGTAGAGGAGAGAACTAAACTTGTATTTCTGCAACAATCAACACTTGCTGTATGTAGAGGAGAGAACTAGTACTTCTGCAACAATTCTGGGACACTTGCTGTATGTAAAGGAGAGAAACCTAAACTTTGTATTTCTCTGCGAACAAGTTCAACAACTTTTCCTGTGTGTAGAGGAGAGAACTAAACTTGTACTTCTGCAACAGTCAACACTTGCTGTGTGTAGAGGAGAGAACTTAACTTGTATTTCTGCAACTGTCAACACACACTTGCTGTGTGTAGAGGAGAGAACTAAACTTGTATTTCTGCAAACAATCAACACTTGCCTGTATGTTGTTAGGAAGAACTAAACTTGTACTTCTGCAACAATCAACACTTGCTGTATGTAGAGGAGAGAACTAAACTTGTATTTCTGCAACAGTCAACACTTGCTGTGTGTAGAGGAGAGAACTAAACTTGTATTTCTGCAACAGTCAACACTTGCTGTATGTAGAGGAGAGAACTAAACTTGTATTTCTGCAACAGTCAACAGTTTATGTGCTGTTCTCTAGTGTGTAGAGGGGAGAACTAAACTTGTATTTCTGCAACAGTCAACAGTTTCTGTGCTGTTCTCCAGTGTGTAGAGGAGAGAACTAAACTTGTATTTCTGCAACTGTCAACACTTGCTGTGTGTAGAGGAGAGAACTAAACTTGTACTTCTGCAACTGTCAACACATGCTGTATGTAGAGGAGAGAACTAAACTTGTACTTCTGCAACAGTCAACACTTGCTGTGTGTAGAGGAGAGAACTAAACTTGTATTTCTGCAACTGTCAACACTTGCTATACTGTTTTCCAGTGTGTAGAGGGGAAAACTAAACTTGTACTTCTGCAACTGTCAACACTTGCTGTGCTGTTCTCCAGTGTGTAGAGGGGAGAACTAAACTTGTACTTCTGCAACTGTCAACACTTGCTGTATGTAGAGGAGAGAACTAAACTTGTACTTCTGCAACTGTCAACACTTGCTGTGTGTAGAGGAGAGAACTAAACTTGTACTTCTGCAACTGTCAACACTTGCTGTATGTAGAGGAGAGAACTAAACTTGTACTTCTGCAACTGTCAACACTTGGCTGTATGTGTGGAGGTGTATGTAGAACTAAAGAACTAAACTTGTACTTGCAACTGTCAACCCATGTATGTGTAAAGGAGAGAACTAAACTTGTATTTCTGCAACTGTCAACACTTGCTGTATGTAGAGGAAAGAACTAAATTTGTACTTCTGCAACTGCCAACAGTTGCTGTGCTGTTCTTCAGTGTGTAAAGGAGAGAACTAAACTTGTACTTCAGCAACTGTCAACACTTGCTGTGCTGTTCTCCAGTGTGTAGAGGAGAGAACTAAACTTGTACTTCAGCAACTGTCAACACTTGCTGTGCTGTTCTCCAGTGTGTAGAGGAGAGAACTAAACTTGTACTTCAGCAACTGTCAACAGTTGCTGTGCTGTGTGTAGAGGATAGAACTAAACTTGTACTTCAGCAACTGTCAACACTTGCTGTGCTGTTCTCCAGTGTGTAGAGGGGAGAACTAAACTTGTACTTCTGCAACTGTCAACACTTGCTGTGCTGTTCTCCAGTGTGTAGAGGGGAGAACTAAACTTGTACTTCTGCAACTGTCAACACTTGCTGTGCTGTTCTCCAGTGTGTAGAGGAGAGAACTAAACGTGTACATCAGCAATTGTTAACAGTTGCTGTGCTTTTCTCCAGTGTGTAGAGGAGAGAACTAAACTTGTACTTCAGCAGTTGTCAACAGTTGCTGTGCTGTTCTCCAGTGTGTAGAGGAGAGAACTAAACTTGTACTTCTGCAACTGTCAACACTTGCTGTGCTGTTCTCCAGTGTGTAGAGGAGAGAACTAAACTTGTACTTCAGCAACTGTCAACACTTGCTGTGTGTAGAGGATAGAACTAAACTTGTATTTCTGCAACTGTCAACACTTGCTGTGCTGTTCTCCAGTGTGTAGAGGGGAGAACTAAACTTGTACTTCTGCAACTGTCAACACTTTCTGTGCTGTTCTCCAGTGTGTAGAGGATAGAACTAAACTTGTATTTCTGCAACTGTCAACAGTTTCTGTGCTGTTCTCCAGTGTGTAGAGGAGAGAACTAAACTTGTATTTCTGCAACTGTCAACACTTGCTGTATGTAGAGGGGAGAACTAAACTTGTATTTCTGCAACTGTCAACACTTGCTGTGCTGTTCTCCAGTGTGTAGAGGGGAGAACTAAACTTGTACTTCTGCAACTGTCAACACTTTCTGTGCTGTTCTCCAGTGTGTAGAGGATAGAACTAAACTTGTATTTCTGCAACTGTCAACAGTTTCTGTGCTGTTCTCCAGTGTGTAGAGGAGAGAACTAAACTTGTATTTCAGCAGTTGTCAACAGTTGCTGTGCTGTTCTCCAGTGTGTAGAGGAGAGAACTAAACTTGTACTTCAGCAGTTGTCAACAGTTGCTGTGCTGTTCTCCAGTGTGTAGAGGAGAGAACTAAACTTGTACTTCTGCAACTGTCAACACTTGCTGTGCTGTTCTCCAGTGTGTAGAGGAGAGAACTAAACTTGTACTTCAGCAACTGTCAACACTTGCTGTGTGTAGAGGATAGAACTAAACTTGTATTTCTGCAACTGTCAACACTTGCTGTGCTGTTCTCCAGTGTGTAGAGGGGAGAACTAAACTTGTACTTCTGCAACTGTCAACACTTTCTGTGCTGTTCTCCAGTGTGTAGAGGATAGAACTAAACTTGTATTTCTGCAACTGTCAACAGTTTCTGTGCTGTTCTCCAGTGTGTAGAGGAGAGAACTAAACTTGTATTTCTGCAACTGTCAACACTTGCTGTATGTAGAGGGGAGAACTAAACTTGTATTTCTGCAACTGTCAACAATTGCTGTGCTGTTCTCCAGTATGTAGAGGAGAGAACTAAACTTGTATTTCTGCAACTGTCAACACTTGCTGTGCTGTTCTCCAGTGTGTAGAGGAGAGAACTAAACTTGTATTTCTGCAACTGTCAACACTTGCTGTATGTAGAGGAGAGAACTAAACTTGTATTTCTGCAACTGTCAACACTTGCTGTGCTGTTCTCCAGTGTGTAGAGGAGAGAACTAAACTTGTATTTCTGCAACTGTCAACACTTTCTGTGCTGTTCTCCAGTGTGTAGAGGGGATAACTAAACTTGTACTTCTGCAACTGTCAACACTTTCTGTGCTGTTCTCCAGTGTGTAGAGGAGAGAACTAAACTTGTATTTCTGCAACTGTCAACAGTTTCTGACTAGTGATGTCAGAAACTGCTGAGGTGACTTTGAAGACATGGTATCATTCTCTGCTATGTTAGAGTTTTGTTGTTGTTGAAACTTATAGTTATAATTACTGACCATTATCCTTGTTCTTATTCATAATAGTGAAAGAGAAGTGTTTATGTTATCTGTCATTCAACTGTTGGGCTTTCTTAAAAAAGCTAGTTGAGAAACATTTTAGAACCATTTAGCAGATATTTGCTAAAGAACTTCCTGTAGGTAGTGAACTTCAAAAGGCTCAAGTCAATAACAGTGCATTTATATCTTCTTAACATTCACTGGATGTAAACTTAGGCAGAAAGTTCTGGTTGTTTATCCACTCCTGGACTTTGGTCTCAATCCAGAACTTCAGTTATGCATGCCATCCATTGTACACATCTGGCTTGTTTGTATTGGTTGCTGGCCTCTTAGGCAGATATAGATGCACTCTGACTTTGTGGAGTAAACACTGCTATTTAGGCACCTCATTTGACATGCGTGGGGGAGGGGATGTCTGTTTTTTGTTCACCAAAATGAGATAACAAAGCCCATGCAGGGATAACAGGCAGGCAGTCTGATGATATGTCAGCTTTGTCTGCCCTCTGTGTGTAGGCTGTCAGCCTGATGCTATGGTCACTAATGGCTGCACCATTCTCCCCCCAATATCATGATCTCTTGACACTATTGGTTGTGCTGTGTCATGATCTCTTGACACTATTGGTTGTGCTGTGTCATGATCTCTTGACACTATTGGTTGTGCTGTGTCATGATCTCTTGACACTATTGGTTGTGCTGTGTCATGATCTCTTGACACTATTGGTTGTGCTGTGTCATGATCTCTTGACACTATTGGTTGTGCTGTGTCATGATCTCTTGACACTATTGGTTGTGCTGTGTCATGATCTCTTGACACTATTGGTTGTGCTGTGTCATGATCTCTTGACACTATTGGTTGTGCTGTGTCATGATCTCTTGACACTATTGGTTGTGCTGTGTCATGATCTCTTGACACTATTGGTTGTGCTGTGTCATGATCTCTTGACACTATTGGTTGTGCTGTGTCATGATCTCTTGACACTATTGGTTGTGCTGTGTTATGATCTCTTGACACTATTGGTTGTGCTGTGTCATGATCTCTTGACACTATTGGTTGTGCTGTGTCATAATCTCTTGACACTATTGGTTGTGCTGTGTCATGATCTCTTGACACTATTGGTTGTGCTGTGACAGTTTTTTAATAGCTGTATAAACACAGTTTTGTTATTTTAACAGTAGTATTTTAATTGTGTTTAATTAGGCAGCAGCTCAAGGCCAGTCTCAAGCTTCCCACAGTCCCTCTTCTGGTCAGTCTAAAGCAGCTGTCAGTCCTGCTGCAAGCCAAGTGAAGTCCTCACCCAGCCCAGGTCATGTCCATCCTCCAGGTCTAGCTCCGGGTCAGGTTCATCCTGGAGGTCCAGCTCCGCAGCAAGTTAGATCTCAAGGTGTGGCCACAAGAGAAAGTAATCCGCGACAAGGCCCTGCTACAGGGTCGAGCGCTGCTTCAGGTCTCCAGTCTGACACAGAGAAGGCAGAGTCAGGTAAATCTTTGTTTTATCTGTCTGCTCTCTCGACCAGCAAACCTGTTGGAGCCTAGCAGTCACTTCATCACACTTTTCTTTGTTACACATACCTTTACTTTTTCATATACCTCTTACTTTGTCCCACCTCTCTTATTTTGCCACACCTCCCTTACTTTGTCACACCTCCCTTACTTTGCCACCCCTCTCTGTCTGATGTGACTGTCAGATCCACTGTTGGTGTAACCCTGAGTGTGTAAACTGACTTGCTGTCTGATGTGATTGTCAGATCCGCTGTTGGTGTAACCCTGAGTGTGTGTGTGAACTGACTTGCTGTTTGATGTGGTTGTCAGATCCACTGTTGGTGTAACCCTGTGTGTGTGAACTGACTTGCTGTTTGATATGATTGTCAGATCCACTGTTGGTGTAACCCTGTGCGTGTGGGTGTGTGAACTGACTTGCTGTCTAATGTGATTGTCAGAACCCATGTTGGTGTAACCCTGTGTGTGTGGGTGTGTGAACTGACTTGCTGTCTAATGTGATTGTCAGATCCACTGTTGGTGTAACCCTGTGTGTGGGTGAGTGTGTGTGAACTGACTTGCTGTTTGATATGATTGTCAGATCCACTGTTGGTGTAACCCTGTGTGTGTGAGTGAGTGTGTGTGAACTGACTTGCTGTTTGATATGATTGTCAGATCTACTGTTGGTGTAACCCTGTGTGTGTGGGTGAGTGTGTGTGAACTGACTTGCTGTTTGATATGATTGTCAGATCCACTGTTAGTGTAACCCTGTGTGTGTGAACTGACTTGCTGTTTGATGTGATTGTCAGATCCACTGTTGGTGTAACCCTGTGTGTGAGAACTGACTTGCTGTTTGATATGATTGTCAGATCCACTGTTGGTGTAACCCTGTGTGTGTGGGTGTGTGAACTGACTTGCTGTCTAATGTGATTGTCAGATCCACTGTTGGTGTAACCCTGTGTGTGGGTTAGTGTGTGTGAACTGACTTGCTGTTTGATATGATTGTCAGATCCACTGATGGTGTAACCCTGTGTGTGTGAGTGAGTGTGTGTGAACTGACTTGCTGTTTGATATGATTGTCAGATCCACTGTTGGTGTAACCCTGTGTGTGTGGGTGATTGTGTGTGAACTGACTTGCTGTTTGATATGATTGTCAGATCCACTGTTAGTGTAACCCTGTGTGTGTGAACTGACTTGCTGTTTGATGTGATTGTCAGATCCACTGTTGGTGTAACCCTGTATGTGTGAACTGACTTGCTGTTTGATATGATTGTCAGATCCACTGTTGGTGTAACCCTGTGTGTGTGAACTGACTTGCTGTTTGATATGATTGTCAGATCCACTGTTGGTGTAACCCTGTGTGTGTGAACTGACTTGCTGTTTGATGTGATTGTCAGATCCACTGTTGGTGTAACCCTGTGTGTGTGGGTGAGTGTGTGTGAACTGACTTGCTGTTTGATGTGATTGTCAGATTCACTGTTGGTGTAACCCTGTGTGTGTGGGTGAGTGTGTGTGAACTGACTTGCTGTTTGATATGATTGTCAGGTCCACTGTTGGTGTAACCCTGTGTGTGTGGGTGAGTGTGTGTGAACTGACTTGCTGTTTGATATGATTGTCAGATCCACTGTTGGTGTAACCCTGTGTGTGTGGGTGAGTGTGTGTGAACTGACTTGCTGTTTGATATGATTGTCAGATCAACTGTTGGTGTAACCCTGTGTGTGTGGGTGAGTGTGTGTGAACTGACTTGCTGTTTGATGTGATTGTCAGATCCACTGTTGGTGTAACCCTGTGTGTGTGGGTGAGTGTGTGTGAACTGACTTGCTGTTTGATGTGATTGTCAGATCCACTGTTGGTGTAACCCTGTGTGTGTGGGTGAGTGTGTGTGAACTGACTTGCTGTTTGATGTGATTGTCAGATCCACTGTTGGTGTAACCCTGTGTGTGTGAACTGACTTGCTGTTTGATGTGATTGTCAGATCCACTGTTGGTGTAACCCTGTGTGTGTGGGTGAGTGTGTGTGAACTGACTTGCTGTTTGATGTGATTGTCAGATCCACTGTTGGTGGCTGAGCTGGAGAAGGTCAAGCTGGAGGAGGTGATGTTTGTGGAGCAGTACCGACAGTGGAAGCAGCAGTATGATGATTGGCGCACACAGAACCAGAGTATGTACATTTCTAGTCTTCCTTGATTGTGTATGGAGATGTGTGCATTGATTGTATGGAGGGGGTGATTAATTGTTTTGGAGAAATGGAAATTGATTGTGTGTAGGGAGATGGGCATTGATTGTGTATAGGGAGATGGGCATTATTTAAGTGTAGGGAGATGGGCATTGATTGTGTGTAGGGAGATGGGCATTGATTGTGTGTGGGGAGATGGGCATTGATTGTGTGTGGGGAGGTGGGCATTGATTGTGTGTGGGGAGATGGGCATTGATTGTGTGTAGGGAGATGGGCATTGATTGTGTGTAGGGAGATGGGCATTATTTAAGTGTAGGGAGATGGGCATTGATTGTGTGTAGGGAGATGGGCATTGATTGTGTGTGGGGAGATGGGCATTGATTGTGTAGGGAGGAGAGCATTGATTGTGTAGGGAGGTGGGCATTGATTGCCTCCACCTATTGTATACTCTATAGAGTATAAGGTCAGGATGATGGTGATTATCAGTGGTCAGTGGCTCATTGATTAAACATCATTTTTATTTCACAGATCACCCCAACAAGGAACAGTTTGGGCAGTACCTGGAGCAGTGGAAGACTTATGAGGTGCAGATGGAATCACGGAGAATAACTATCCACACACGGAAGCAGCAACTAGAGAATGAACTGGCCAGGATATCAGCAGCATCAGCTTCCAAAGCAGAGGCTGCCAGGTTGGGATCATTTGTGCCGTCATTTAAAGCTGTCGACTCATCACAGGCTTCATCAGGCAAATCAGCCTGGGACCAAGGCACACAAAATGTCTCACAATCATCCCAGGATCTACAAGGCACACAAAATGTCTCACAATCATCCCGGGATTTAAAAGGCACACAGAATGTTTCACAATCATCCCAGGATCTACAAGGCACACAGAATGTCTCACAATCATCCCAGGGTGTTGCTGTTGGTGGCAGAGAGAATAGACTTTTGAATGATCAAAGAGCAGCACCATGTGGACCAGGTCCGGGTGAGAGGTTTGCTGGTAGTGGCTCAGTGGGGCCGGCTATACCGGGCAGGATGAATCAGTTTGCAGAGAACATGGGGAATGGAGGGAAGGCTACGCCTGTGACAGTTGAGGAAAAGGGAGAGGAAGACATGAATTTGGATGAGGAGGAGGGGGAGGCTGGAGGTGCAGGTATCATTGAAGGCGGGCAGCAAGCTGAAGGCAATGTCTGGCAGGGTCAGCAGACACCGGGCACAGAATCCCTCAACCAACAATCAGCAGGTGATTGGAACTCATGGAATCGAGCACAAGAAAACCAGTGGGCAGGCGGGGTTCCTAGGTCTGCCAGAGAAACAGGGTGGGCTGACCAAACAGGCAGAGACAGAAACTTACAGCAACCCACTGACAGTGTTAGAGGGCAGTACGGGGATGGATGGACTGATAGCAACCCACCGGCAGGGCTACCTTTTGGCAGCGAAGCTGGACAGGATGTGGACTCGAGAGTCCTGAGACCTGGAGACCTCAACACCCTTGGGGCGGCCACTGATGGTTCCAGCAGGGAAGGCTATAGTGACAGATATTATAATGATGAGAATGATTTCAGGAACTTCTCCCAGGCAGGGCCTGGTGGAGGACAGTTCCACAGGGGCGGTGAACCTGCCATTCATAGAGGTCGAGGTGGAGAATTCATTAGAGGGAGAGGTAGGGGTGAGGACTTTCATAGAGGCATGGGAGTAGATCCTCACAGAGGGAGGGGAGGTCACTTCCCATTAGGCAGAGGTGATGGTCCAAGAGGCACTGAGTTTTCACAAGGTATGGCCACTGATTATCACAGTGAAGATGCAGGGGCAATGTTCAGTCATTCTTTCCGTTCAGAGGAATTTGATCATATGGAAGGACCTATGAGAGGTCGGGGTGGGTTTTATGCACGTGGAAGAGGGTTACCTTCTCTTTTGTCTTTAGGCAGAGGTGATGGTCCAAGAGGCACCGAGTTCTCACAAGGTATGGCCTCTGATTATCACAGTGAAAATAGGGGGGCAGTGTTCAATCATTCTCTCCATTCAGAAGGATTTGATCCAATGGGAGGACCTCTGAGAGGTCGGGGTGGACTTTCTGCACGTGGGCGAGGGTTGCCTTCTCTCCTGTCGTTAGAGTTCAACAACAGAAACCAGTTCTCCGACCTTGATCTTAGAGAGGGGGAGACTGCTGGACCGGTGGTACCTGCACAGGCTGATGCTGGCAATGAAAACCTTTTTGAAGGTCGAGTGGGAAGGGAAGGTCAAGGTTACTTGAATGATGATTATGAAGGTAGTGGGTCGTTGCCTACATCAGGAAGAGGATTTAGTCAAAGGGGAGGCTTGGAACATAGAGGGGCTGCATACAGAACACCTGGGGGACTTGTTAGTGAAAATAGAGGGGCTGCATACAGGGCACCTGGGGGACTTGTTAGTGAACAATTTGATGGCAACTTGTCGTTGGGTCAGGGCAGCCAGAGGCCCATACCTGGTCAAGATGGCTTGCCTTGGAGACCAGGTGCCAACACTTCACTCACAGACGTGCAGTATGGTGCAGATTATGCCAGGAGACCTCCCCTGTCCAGCAGGGAAGGAGCTCCAGGTCAACCAGAGGATGACCTGCAGCGTTTGGGTGAGTTTGCTGAGGCCAACAAGTTGCGACAACCTGATGGACCGACCCCCAGAGACACAACCAGCGACAGAGGACAGATTGCTAAGCCAGATGTGTCCACGGACAAGAATGTGTGGAACAACCAACCAGGAGACAACATCTCTGATCGTTGTAGTCAGCAGGTCAGTAGTCACTCAGTTGTTTTTCTGATTTATTAAAGAATATTTACTGATCAGTCATGGTACAAAGTTTACTGTGTTATGATGTCATGGTACAAAGTTTACTGTGTCATGAGGTCATGGTACACAGTTTACTGTGTTATGAGGTCATGGTACAAAGTTTACTGTGTTATGTTGTCATGGTACAAAGTTTACTGTGTTATGAGGTCATGGTACAATGTTTAGTGTGTTATGAGGTCATGGTACAAAGTTTACTGTGTTATGAGGTCATGGTACAAAGTTTACTGTGTTATGAGGTCATGGTACAAAGTTTACTGTGTTATGAGGTCATGGTACAATGTTTACTGTGTTATGAGGTCATGGTACAATGTTTACTGTGTTATGAGGTCATGGTACAATGTTTACTGTGTTATGAGGTTATGGTACAATGTTTACTGTGTTATGAGGTTATGGTACAAAGTTTACTGTGTTATGAGGTCATGGTACAAAGTTTACTGTGTTATGAGGTTATGGTGCAAAGTTTACTGTGTTATGAGGTCTTGGTACAATGTTTACTGTGTTATGAGGTCATGGTACAATGTTTACTGTGTTATGAGGTTATGGTGCAAAGTTTACTGTGTTATGAGGTCATGGTACAAAGTTTACTGTGTTATGAGGTCATGGTACAATGTTTACTGTGTTATGAGGTCATGGTACAATGTTTACTGTGTTATGTTGTCATTTTGCTGCTTTCTGCTGATAGTTTTGTTTTATTTTTATCCACTGAGAAGCAGAGAAAAGATATTTCGAAATTATGTGCACTAGACCACGCATTAGCAGAAACAGAGGAGTATCTGGAAGCCTCTCAGTGAAGTCATCACTAAGTGTCAGAAACAGAGGAGTCTCTGGAAGCCTCTCAATGAAGTCATCACTAAGTGTCAGAAACAGAGGAGTCTCTGGAAGCCTCTCAATGAAGTCATCACTAAGTGTCAGAAACAGGAGTCTCTGGAAGCCTCTCAATGAAGTCAACACCAAGTGTTAGAAACAGGAGTCTCTGGAAGCCTCTCAATGAAGTCATCACTAAGTGTCAGAAACAGGAGTCTCTGGAAGCCTCTCAATGTTCCATTTCCCCAAGAGTTGCTTCACCACCACCTCTGTTCCATTTCCCCAATAGTTGCTTCACCACCACCACTGTTCCATTTCCCCAAGAGTTGCTTCACCACCACCACCTCTGTTCCATTTCCCCAAGAGTTGCTTCACCAGCACATCTGCTGTTCCATTTCCCCAAGAGTTGCTTCACCACCACCACCTCTGTTCCATTTCCCCAAGAGTTGCTTCACCAGCACCTCTGTTCCATTTCCCCAAGAGTTGCTTCACCACCACCACCTCTGTTCCATTTCCCTAAGAGTTGCTTCACCACCACCACCTCTGTTCCATTTCCCCAAGAGTTGCTTCACCACCACCTCTGCTGTTCCATTTCCCCAAGAGTTTCTTCACCAGCACCTCTGTTCCATTTCCCCAAGAGTTGCTTCACCACCACCACCTCTGTTCCATTTCCCCAAGAGTTGCTTCACCAGCACCTCTGCTGTTCCATTTCCCCAAGAGTTTCTTCACCAGCACCTCTGTTCCATTTCCCCAAGAGTTGCTTCACCACCACCTCTGTTCCATTTCCCCAAGAGTTGCTTCACCACCACCTCTGTTCCATTTCCCCAAGAGTTGCTTCACCACCACCTCTGTTCCATTTCCCCAATAGTTGCTTCACCACCACCACCACTGTTCCATTTCCCCAATAGTTTCTTCACCACCACCACCACTGTTCCATTTCCCCAATAGTTGCTTCACCACTACCACTGTTCCATTTCCCCAAGAGTTGCTTCACCACCACCACCTCTGTTCCATTTCCCCAAGAGTTGCTTCACCAGCACCTCTGCTGTTCCATTTCCCCAAGAGTTGCTTCACCATCACCACCTCTGTTCCATTTCCCCAAGAGTTGCTTCACCAGCACCTCTGTTCCATTTCCCCAAGAGTTGCTTCATCACCACCACCTCTGTTCCATTTCCCCAATAGTTGCTTCACCACCACCTCTGCTGTTCCATTTCCCCAAGAGTTGCTTCACCACCACCTCTGTTCTATTTCCCCAAGAGTTGCTTCACCACCACCACTGTTCCATTTCCCCAAGAGTTGCTTCACCACCACCACCTCTGTTCCATTTCCCCAAGAGTTGCTTCACCAGCACCTCTGTTCTATTTCCCCAAGAGTTGCTTCACCACCACCACCTCTGTTCCATTTCCCCAAGAGTTGCTTCACCACCACCTCTGTTCCATTTCCCCAAGAGTTGCTTCACCACCACCTCTGTTCCATTTCCCCAAGAGTTGCTTCACCACCACCACCTCTGTTCCATTTCCCCAAGAGTTGCTTCACCACCACCACCTCTGTTCCATTTCCCCAAGAGTTGCTTCACCACCACCACCTCTGTTCCATTTCCCCAAGAGTTGCTTCACCACCACCTCTGTTCCATTTCCCCAAGAGTTGCTTCACCACCACCTCTGCTGTTCCATTTCCCCAAGAGTTGCTTCACCACCACCTCTGCTGTTCTATTTCCCCAAGAGTTGCTTCACCACCACCCCTGCTGTTCTATTTCCCCAAGAGTTTCTTCACCACCACCTCTGTTCCATTTCCCCAAGAGTTGCTTCACCACCACCTCTGTTCCATTTCCCCAAGAGTTGCTTAACCACCACCACCTCTGCTGTTCCATTTCCCCAAGAGTTGCTTCACCACCACCACCTCTGTTCCATTTCTCCAAGAGTTGCTTCACCACCACCACCTCTGTTCCATTTCCCCAAGAGTTGCTTCACCACCACCACCTCTGTTCCATTTCCCCAAGAGTTGCTTCACCACCACCACCTCTGTTCCATTTCTCCAAGAGTTGCTTCACCACCACCTCTGTTCCATTTCCCCAAGAGTTGCTTCACCACCACCACCTCTGTTCCATTTCCCCAAGAGTTGCTTCACCACCACCACCTCTGTTCCATTTCCCCAAGAGTTGCTTTCACCACCACCACCTCTGTTCCATTTCTCCAAGAGTTGCTTCACCACCACCTCTGTTCCATTTCCCCAAGAGTTGCTTCACCACCACCACCTCTGTTCCATTTCCCCAAGAGTTTCTTCACCAGCACCTCTGTTCCATTTCCCCAAGAGTTGCTTCACCAGCACCTCTGCTGTTCCATTTCCCCAAGAGTTTCTTCACCAGCACCTCTGTTCCATTTCCCCAAGAGTTGCTTCACCAGCACCTCTGTTCCATTTCCCCAAGAGTTGCTTCACCACCACCACCTCTGTTCCATTTCCCCAAGAGTTGCTTCACCACCACCTCTGTTCCATTTTCCCAAGAGTTGCTTCACCACCACCTCTGTTCCATTTCCCCAAGAGTTGCTTCACCAGCACCTCTGCTGTTCCATTTCCCCAAGAGTTGCTTCACCAGCACCTCTGCTGTTCCATTTCCCCAATAGTTGCTTCACCACCACCTCTGTTCCATTTCCCCAAGAGTTTCTTCACCAGCACCTCTGCTGTTCAATTTCCCCAAGAGTTGCTTCACCACCACCTCTGTTCCATTTCCCCAAGAGTTGCTTCACCAGCACCTCTGTTGTTCCATTTCCCCAAGAGTTGCTTCACCACCACCTCTGTTCTATTTCCCCAAGAGTTGCTTCACCACCACCTCTGTTCTATTTCCCCAAGTGTTTCTTCACCAGCATCTCTACAGTGATGTGTTTATAAGACACCTGGTTAATTATATTGGCTGAGTTTGCAACTGCACACAGTTGACAAGGTCATATTATGAATATATTTACTTAAAATAGCATTAAGGGAGGTTTCCTGGTGAACCCAACGGCTTTGAAGGAGCCAAGCTGGCATCATAAATTGAGCATAGTCCCACTAATAGAGTTCATGGCATGGGTCGCCTGATGCATTTTTCTGTAGGACCCCAGTGAAGGTATTGAGCGTCATATTTTACTGTGTCCATGTTTATTGATAGCTCCCTTTATGTCACTTTATATATTTTGAATCAAAATGTACGTGAAATATAAATATAAAAAAAAATTATGAGTGACCAGTGTACATTTTACAAAAATAGCGGGTTGGGGTGAGGTCCCCCACGGTTCTACAGCCCATTTGTTAAAACTGGTTGCTGGTGTGAAAGCATTAGAGAGCAGCAGATAAGATGGTTTGGCTTTCTGACTTAATACTGTGGTATCAACTGTGACAGAGAGCAGCAGATGAGATGGTTTGGCTTTCTGACTTAATACTGTGGTATCAACTGTGACAGAGAGCAGCAGATGAGATGGTTTGGCTCTCTGACTTAATACTGTGGTATCAACTGTGACAGAGAGCAGCAGATGAGATGGTTTGGCTTTCTGACTTAATATTGTGGTATCAACTGTGACAGAGAGCCTTAATACTGTGGTATCAACTGTGACAGAGAGCGGCGCTGGGGAAATATAGTGGACACAGAGAAAATGCAAAGTTTGTAATGAAGCATTTAAAAAAAAAACAGCTATAAAGGAATTAACATCAACTTTTACATTAGAAAGAACACACAATGACGATCCTTGCAACTCTCGGAGGAGGTAACTAGAGAAAGCGAAGAATGTTATTCACAGGTTTTTGCCGTCAGCGAATAAGTGTTGAGTTTGTTTGGTTGTGTCTGTGTGTTTGCCACAGTAAAACTGGTGTGTATTTAGGAAAACTGTGTACAAATACATTTTAATCCTATACTTTCTGTTGTCTTGTAGTGTCCTCAGGTTGTAGACAACTGTATGTTTGTGTGTGCATATGTTGTTGTTGAGGCCAAGTTGTATGTGTTGTTGCTTGTAATTTCTTTTTGTGCAGGAGGGGCCATGGTTGTGTAGTGACTAAATATTTGCCTTTTAGACTGAATACCATGGATTCAAATCCACATTGAGTTGGATCCCCCATTCCATAGAAACGGCCTTAGCTTCCGGGTCGACTCACGCTAAAATTGGTATCAGCTGAAGTCCTAAGGTGTAAATGCAGCTGACGTCATATTAACTATATCACCTGTCAAATGCTGATTGATCTGTACAACTGAGTCTTGCATCATGTGTCCAGTGCCCCGCTGGTGTGCAATGATTGATCTGAACAACTGAGTCTTGCATCATGTGTCCAGTGCCCCGCTGGTGTGCAATGATTGATCTGTACAACTGAGTCTTGCATCATGTGTCCAGTGCCCCGCTGGTGTGCAATGATTGATCTGTACAACTGAGTCTTGCATCATGTGTCCAGTGCCCCGCTGGTGTGCAATGATTGATCTGTAAAACTGAGTCTTGCATCATGTGTCCAGTGCCCCGCTGGTGTGCAATGATTGATCTGTACAACTGAGTCTTGCATCATGTGTCCAGTGCCCCGCTGGTGTGCAATGATTGATCTGTACAACTGAGTCTTGCATCATGTGTCCAGTGCCCCGCTGGTGTGCAATGATTGATCTGTAAAACTGAGTCTTGCATCATGTGTCCAGTGCCCCGCTGGTGTGCAATGATTGATCTGTACAACTGAGTCTTGCATCATGTGTCCAGTGCCCCGCTGGTGTGCAATGATTGATCTGTACAACTGAGTCTTGCATCATGTGTCCAGTGCCCCGCTGGTGTGCAAAGTGTCCTTGACTGACCTTCTCCTGTTTGTGCAGGTGGCTGCTGGGAATGTCCCGGTGCCTGGCAGAGAAAGAGCTCGAAGAATGTCTGGCCACGATGACGGCCAGCTGCAGACCAAGAGAGGCAGGTTCCAGTCTGAAGAGGACAGAGATGAAAACAGGGTCAGTTTGTGTGTTGTGTGTGGGAGAGAGACTTGGTGTCATGCTACCTGTCACAGAGCAGTAGTCACTTGGCTTTCTCTCTTGCTGACAGCCTCCAGACTGACCTCTGGTGGTGGATTTTTTGCTTCTAGGTCATAAGTATTTTTGTAATCAGTCTTCATTACAGTTGTAGCAGTCATTTTACATTCAGCCATAAGTACAATTGGACCATTCATTTAAAAATTAGTCTAAAGATAGTTGTATGGTCATGTTGCATTCTGGCAAATATATTTGTCTCTTTTCCACTCAGTATAATAGTTCCACCTGTTGTACATTTAAACATTCCGCTCAGTATAATAGTCCCACTTGTTGTACAATTAACCATTCCGCTCAGTATAATAGTTCCACCTGTTGTACAATTAACCATTCCGCTCAGTATAATAGTTCCACCTGTTGTACAATTAACCATTCCGCTCAGGATAATAGTTCCACCTGTTGTACAATTAACCATTCCGCTCAGGATAATAGTTCCACCTGTTGTACAATTAACCATTCCGCTCAAGATAATAGTTCCACCTGTTGTACAATTAAACATTCCGCTCAGGATAATAGTTCCACCTGTTGTACAATTTAACATTCCACTCAGTATAATAGTTCCACCTGTTGTACATTTAAACATTCCGCTCAGTATAATAGTCCCACTTGTTGTACAATTAAACATTCCACTCAGTATAATAGTTCCACCTGTTGTACAATTAACCATTCCGCTCAGGATAATAGTTCCACCTGTTGTACAATTAAACATTCCACTCAGTATAATAGTCCCACCTGTTGTACAATTAAACATTCCGCTCAGTATAATAGTTCCACCTGTTGTACAATTAAACATTCCACTCAGTATAATAGATCCACCTGTTGTACAATTAAACATTCCACTCAGTATAATAGATCCACCTGTTGTACAATTAAACATTCCACTCAGTATAATAGTTCCACCTGTTGTACAATTAAACATTTCACTCAGTATAATAGTTCCACCTGTTGTACAATTAAACATTCCGCTCAGTATAATAGATCCACCTGTTGTACAATTAAACATTCCACTCAGTATAATAGATCCACCTGTTGTACAATTAAACATTCCACTCAGTATAATAGTCCCACCTGTTGTACAATTAAACATTCCACTCAGTATAATAGTTCCACCTGTTGTACAATTAAACATTCCACTCAGTATAATAGTTCCACCTGTTGTACAATTAACCATTCCACTCAGTATAATAGTCCCACCTGTTGTACAATTAAACATTCCACTCAGTATAATAGTTCCACCTGTTGTACAATTAAACATTCCGCTCAGCGTTCTCCTGTCTCCACTTTAACTGCCTATTAATATTCTTCCCCCCCCCCCCCCCCCCCAAATCAGCCTCCGAAAATAGCATTCTTTCATCAACACACACTAATTAAATTACTCATACTGTTTTATATTTTCAGCCAAGACTTGCCTACCCTGAAGACAGGTTTTGTGGCTCCATTGACAGACTCCGAGACTTCAGAGATCGTCACGTCCTGGATCCATATGCTGCTCGCCAGTTATATGCTTTTGATCGGCCAGGCTATGCCAGGTATGCAATAACTGTTTGACCAGAAATTCTTCGCTTAGACAAGACTACAGTTTGGCATGTTCTGGCTGATATTTAATCCTGTCATCATTCACTTGGGGTTGCCAGCCTTAACCTACAAGTCATTTGTTTCAGAGACTTAACTACAACATTTGCTCCTCTTTGTTTCCTTGTGCACTAGCAGAACAAACAATTCTCTGTGTGATCATCAAGACCTTGATCTGAGATGAGCTCCCAGTATCTGCAGTCTGCTTCTCTACATTGGTTCATTAATATTTCAGAGGGCTAGGACTATGATTGTCCCAGTATACACTAACAGTGATGAACTATGATTGTCCCAGTATACACTAACAATGATGAACTATGATTGTCCCAGTAAACACTAAGAGTGATGAACTATGATTGTCCCAGTATACACTAACAGTGATAAACTATGATTGTCCCAGTAAACACTAACAGTGATGAACTATGATTGTCCCAGTAAACACTAACAGTGATGAACTAATATTGTCCCAGTAAACACTAACATGAACTAATATTGTCCCAGTAAACACTAGCAGTGATGAACTATGATTGTCCCAGTAAACACTTGCAGTGATGAACTGTGATTGTCCCAGTAAACACTAACAGTGATGACCTATGATTGTCCCAGTATACACTAACAGTGATGAACTATGATTGTCCCAGTAAACACCAACAGGGATGAACTATTATTGCCTCAGTAAACACTAACAGTGATGAACTATGATTGTCCCAGTAAACACTAACAGTGATAAACTATGATCTTCCCAGTAAACACTAACAGTGATGAACTATGATTGTCCCAGTAAACACTAACAGTGATGAACTGTGATTGTCCCAGTAAATACTAACAGGGATGAACTATGATTGTCCCAGTTAACACCAACAGTGATGAACTATGATTATCCCAGTAAACACCAAAAGTGAAGAACATGATAATATTGTCCCAGTAAACACTAGCAGGGATGAACTATGATTGTCCCAGTAAACACTAACAGTGATGAACTATGATTGTCCCAGTAAACACTAACAGTGATGAACTGTGATTGTCCCAGTAAACACTAACAGTGATGAACTATGATTGTCCCAGTATACACTAACAGTGATAAACTGTGATTGTCCCAGTAAACACTAACAGTGATGAACTGTGATTGTCCCGGAAAACACTAATAGTGATGAACTATGATTGTCCCAGTAAACACTAACAGTGATGAACTATGATTGTCCCAGTATACACTAACAGTGATGAACTATGATTGCCTCAGTAAACACCAACAGTGATGAACTATGATTGTCCCAGTAAACACTAACAGTGATGAACTATGATTGTCCCAGTAAACACCAACAGTGATGAACTATGATTGTCCCAATAAACACTAACAGGGATGAACTATGATTGTCCCAATAAACACTTACAGTGATGAACCATTATTGTCCCGGAAAACACTAACAGTGATGAACTATGATTGTCCCAGTAAACACTAACAGTGATGAACTATGATTGTCCCAGTATACACTAACAGTTAAAAACTGTGATTGTCCCTGTAAACACTAACAGTAATGAACTATGATTGTCCCAGTATACACTAACAGTGATGAACTATGATTGTCCCAGTATACACTAACAGTGATGAACTAATATTGTCCCAGTAAACACTAACATGAACTAATATTGTCCCAGTAAACACTAGCAGGGATGAACTATGATTGTCCCTGTAAACACTAATAGTGATGAACTATGATTGTTCCTGTAAACACTAACAGTGATGAACTATGATTGTCCCAGTATACACTAACAGTGATGAACTATGATTGTCCCAGTATACACTAACAGTGATGAACTGTGATTGTCCCACTAAACACTAACAGTGATGAACTGTGATTGTCCCACTAAACACTAACAGTGATGAACTGTGATTGTCCCACTAAACACTAACAGTGATGAACTGTGATTGTCCCAGTATACACTAACAGTGATGACCTATGATTGTCCCAGTATACACTAACAGGGATGAACTATTATTGTCCCGGAAAACACTAACAGTGATGAACTATGATTGTCCCAGTAAACACTAACAGGGATGAACTAATATTGTCCCAGTAAACACTAACAGTGATAAACTATGATCTTCCCAGTAAACACTAACAGTGATGAACTATGATTGTCCCAGTAAACACTAACAGTGATGAACTATGATTGTCCCAGTAAACACTAACAGTGATGAACTGTGATTGTCCCAGTAAACACTAACAGTGATGAACAATGATTGTCCCAGTTAACACCAACAGTGATGAACTATGATTATCCCAGTAAACACCAAAAGTGAAGAACTATGATTGTCCCAGTAAACACTAACAGGGATGAACTATGATTGTCCCAGTAAACACTAACAGTGATGAACTATGATTGTCCCAGTAAACACTAACAGTGATGAACTGTGATTGTCCCAGTAAACACTAACAGTGATGAACTATGATTGTCCCAGTATACACTAACAGTGATAAACTGTGATTGTCCCAGTAAACACTAACAGTGATGAACTGTGATTGTCCCGGAAAACACTAATAGTGATGAACTATGATTGTCCCAGTAAACACTAACAGTGATGAACTATGATTGTCCCAGTATACACTAACAGTGATGAACTATGATTGCCTCAGTAAACACTAACAGTGATGAACTATGATTGTCCCAGTAAACACTAACAGTGATGAACTATGATTGTCCCAGTATACACTAACAGTTAGAAACTGTGATTGTCCCTGTAAACACTAACAGAGATGAACTATGATTGTCCCAGTATACACTAACAGTGATGAACTATGATTGTCCCAGTATACACTAACAGTGATGAACTAATATTGTCCCAGTAAACACTAACATGAACTAATATTGTCCCAGTAAACACTAGCAGGGATGAACTATGATTGTCCCTGTAAACACTAATAGTGATGAACTATGATTGTCCCTGTAAACACTAACAGTGATGAACTATGATTGTCCCAGTATACACTAACAGTGAGGAACTATGATTGTCCCAGTATACACTAACAGTGATGAACTGTGATTGTCCCACTAAACACTAACAGTGATGAACTGTGATTGTCCCAGTATACACTAACAGTGATGAACTGTGATTGTCCCACTAAACACTAACAGTGATGAACTGTGATTGTCCCACTAAACACTAACAGTGATGAACTGTGATTGTCCCAGTATACACTAACAGTGATGAACTGTGATTGTCCCACTAAACACTAACAGTGATGAACTATGATTGTCCCAGTATACACTAACAGTGATGAGCTATGATTGTCCCAGTAAACACTAACAGTGATGAACTATGATTGTCCCAGTATACACTAACAGTTAGAAACTGTGATTGTCCCACTAAACACTAACAGTGATGAACTATGATTGTCCCAGTATACACTAACAGTGATGAACTGTGATTGTCCCACTAAACACTAACAGTGATGAACTATGATTGTCCCAGTAAACACTAACAGGGATGAACTATGATTGTCCCAGTAAACACTAACAGTGATGAACTATGATTGTCCCAGTATACACTAACAGTGATGAACTATGAATGCCCTACTAAACACTAACAGTGACAAACTACACATTGAAGTCAATAATAGATGGCTGATACACAAGGTTTGACATACAGCTATATCTTGAATATCTGTTCCAGGTTGTGTAGCTAACCTCTGTCACTAATCGATTGTCTGCGGCAGTCATGTCAAACTAGAGCTTCCCTGAGGCCCACATGTCTGCGGCAGTCATTTCAAACTAAGGCTTTTCTAAGGCCCATGTCTGCGGCATTCATGTCAAACTAAGGCTTCCCGCATGACAGCATACTGAAGTCATTTAATAAAAACTGTTAACCCTTTTTCTCATGCATTCATTTGGCAAGTATTATTCAAACAGAATTCATTTCTTATTTTGTGTCTTAACACACTCATGCTAATCTTGTGACTGTCCTTCATGGCCTGTGCCGTCCTGAGACCCACCTCTTATGCAGATTTGATGTTTATATTCCTATGCTAGAACTTGCATCATTACAGACTGTGATGCCTGCAACAAGAGACAGTGATTGATGAGGCTCCAGTCTTTCATGTGTATAGGAGACAGATGGAAACTTATCTCATATACAGGCTGTGTTAGGTCATATGCCAGAGTTGATATTTGCTTTGTGACTAATGTGTGCATATGTTAGTGAATGCTGTTGTGTGTAAGGAATAGAAACAGTAGTCACTAAACATCATGTTGCTGAGCTGTTGTTGTTTCCTTGCCAGGTTTGCCACTGCAGGCTATGACACTCCCACAGAACGTAAACGCTTCCTTCCAGCAGAGAGCATTGATTATGGACATAAAGGAATTGACAGAGAGAAGAGAAGTAAGTGTTTGTGTTACTGCATGCGGTTGACAGTGAGTTAACATATCTGTTTGTGTTGCTGCATGCGGTTGGCAGTGAGTTAACATATCTGTTTGTGTTACTGCATGCAGTTGCTAGTGAGTTAACATATCTGTTTGTGTTACTGCATGCAGTTGCTGGTGAGTTAACATATCTGTTTGTGTTACTGCATGCAAATGCTGTTGAGTTAACATGTCTGTTTGTGTTACTGCATGCGGTTGCTGTTGAGTTAACATATCTGTTTGTGTTACTGCATGCGGTTGCTGGTGAGTTAACATGTCTGTTTGTGTTACTGCATGCGGTTGACAGTGAGTTAACATGTCTGTTTGTGTTACTGCATGCGGTTGCTGGTGAGTTAACATGTCTGTTTGTGTTACTGCATGCGGTTGTTGGTGAGTTAACATGTCTGTTTGTGTTACTGCATGAGGTTGACAGTGAGTTAACATGTCTGTTTGTGTTACTGCCTGAGGTTGACAGTGAGTTAACATGTTTGTTTGTGTTACTGCCTGAGGTTGACAGTGAGTTAACATGTCTGTTTGTGTTACTGCCTGAGGTTGACAGTGAGTTAACATGTCTGTTTGTGTTACTGCATGCAGTTGTTGGTGAGTTAACATGTCTGTTTGTGTTACTGCATGAGGTTGACAGTGAGTTAACATGTTTGTTTGTGTTACTGCATGCGGCTGACATTGAGTTAACATATCTGTTCGTGTTACTGCATGCGGTTGCTGGTGAGTTAACATGTCTGTTCGTGTTACTGCATGTGGTTGCTGGTGAGTTAACATGTCTGTTTGTGTTACTGCATGTGGTTGACAGTGAGTTAACATGTTTGTTTGTGTTACTGCATGTGGTTGCTGGTGAGTTAACATGTCTGTTTGTGTTACTGCATGCGGTTGACAGTGAGTTAACATGTTTGTTTGTGTTACTGCATGCGGCTGACAGTGAGTTAACATGTCTGTTCGTGTTACTGCATGCGGTTGCTGGTGAGTTAACATGTCTGTTTGTGTTACTGCATGTGGTTGCTGGTGAGTTAACATATCTGTTTGTGTTACTGCATGTGGTTGCTGGTGAGTTAGTTAACATGTTGCTGTTTAACATGTGTGTTTGTGTTACTGCATGTGGTTGCTGGTGAGTTAACATATCTGTTTGTGTTACTGCATGCGGTTGCTGGTGAGTTAACATGTCTGTTTGTGTTACTGCATGCGGTTGCTGGTGAGTTAACATGTCTGTTTGTGTTACTGCATGTGGTTGCTGGTGAGTTAACATGTCTGTTTGTGTTACTGCATGTGGTTGCTGGTGAGTTAACATGTCTGTTTGTGTTACTGCATGCGGTTGACAGTGAGTTAACATGTCTGTTTGTGTTACTGCATGCGGTTGCTGGTGAGTTAACATGTCTGTTTGTGTTACTGCATGTGGTTGCTGGTGAGTTAACATATCTGTTTGTGTTACTGCATGCGGTTGCTGGTGAGTTAACATGTCTGTTTGTGTTACTGCATGCGGTTGCTGGTGAGTTAACATGTCTGTTTGTGTTACTGCATGCGGTTGCTGGTGAGTTAACATGTCTGTTTGTGTTACTGCATGCGGTTGACAGTGAGTTAACATATCTGTTTACTGCATGTTGCTGGTGAGTTAACATATGTGGTTGTGTTACTGCATGAGGTTGACAGTGAGTTAACATATCTGTTGGAAATTAAGTTGTTGACATGATAGGTTTGAATGGCTGGAGTTGAAATTTGGGCAGAGAAGATCTGTTGTGTGTTACATAGACGAGTTGAGAATATGGACAGAGAAGAGTTGAGAATATAAACAGAGATGAGTTGAGAATATGGACAGAGAAGAGTTGAGAATATGGACAGATAAGAGTTGAGAATATGGACAGAGATGAGTTGAGAATATGGACAGATGAGTTGAGAATATGGACAGAGATGAGTTGAGAATATGGACAGATGAGTTGAGAATATGGACAGATGAGTTGAGAATATGGACAGAGATTAGTTGAGAATATGGACAGAGATGAGTTGAGAATATGGACAGAGAAGATTTGAATATATAGGCAAAGAAGAGTTGAGAAAATGTGTAATGAAGTGTTGAGAATATTATGAAAGACAAGTTGGGAATATGGGAAAAGAAAAGTTGGGAATATGGAAAAAGAAAAGTTTAGAATATGGGGAAAGATGAGCTGAGAATTTGAGCAGAGTCATGAAGTGTTGAGATATGGACAGAGATGTCCGGTGTCTGTTCTGGCCCCGGTAACAGTTGTGCTGTCATGGGTGTCTGTTCTAGACCAGTCACCTCACAGGTGTGCTGTCATGGGTGTCTGTTCTAGACCCGGTACCTCACAGGTGTGTTGTCATGGGTGTCTGTTCTAGACCCGGTACCTCACAGGTGTGTTGTCATGGGTGTCTGTTCTAGACCAGTCACCTCACAGGTGTGCTGTCATGGGTGTCTGTTCTTGACCAGTCATGGGCTGTCAACCCGAAACAGTGTGCTGTCATGGGTGTCTGTTCTTGACCAGTCACCTCTGAGGTGTGCTGTCATGGGTGTCTGTTCTAGAAAGATGGTTTGGGTCTGTTCTAGACCAGTCACCTCACAGGTGTGCTGTCATGGGTGTCTGTTCTAGACCCGGTACCTCACAGGTGTGCTGTCATGGGTGTCTGTTCTAGACCAGTCACCTCACAGGTGTGCTGTCATGGGTGTCTGTTCTAGACCAGGTCACCTCACAGGTGTGCTGTCATGGGTGTCTGTTCTACCAGACCTCTGAGGTGTGCTGTCATGGGTGTGTTCTGGACCAGTCATGTCATGGGTGTCTGTTCTTGACCAGTCACCTCTGAGGTGTGCTGTCATGGGTGTCTGTTCTGGACCAGTCACCTCACAGGTGTGCTGTCATGGGTGTCTGTTCTTGACCAGTCACCTCACAGGTTTGCTGAGTCATGGGTGTCTGTTCTAGACCAGTCACCTCACAGGTGTGCTGTCATGGGTGTCTGTTCTTGACCAGTCACCTCTGAGGTGTGCTGTCATGGGTGTCTGTTCTGGACCAGTCACCTCACAGGTTTGCTGAGTCATGGGTGTCTGTTCTAGACGGGGCACCTGAAGAAGAATATGTCCACCTGTCAGCTAGTGTGTATTGATCACATCCTCAGGTGTCCAGCCGGCCCAGGTCATTGACTATGGTCATGGTCAGTCGGAAGTGAAAATATCAGGTGTGGACTTGGATGCTGCAGATCAAGTAGACAGACCAGCCACCAATACCATCAGAGGTGAGTCAGATCTGTTGTCAGATCAAGTAGACAGACCAGCCACCAATACCATCAGAGGTGAGTCAGTTCTGTTTTCAGATTAAGTAGACAGACCAGCCACCAATATCATCAGAGGTGAGTCAGTTCTGTTGTCAGATCAAGTAGACAGACCTGCCACCAATACCATCAGAGGTGAGTCAGTTCTGTTGTCAGATCAAGTAGACAGACCAGCCACCAATACCATCAGAGGTGAGTCAGTTCTGTTGTCAGATCAAGTAGACAGACCAGCCACCAATACCATCAGAGGTGAGTCAGTTCTGTTGTCAGATCAAGTAGACACACCTGCCACCAATACCATCAGAGGTGAGTCAGTTCTGTTGTCAGATCAAGTAGACACACCTGCCACCAATACCATCAGAGGTGAGTCAGTTCTGTTGTCAGATCAAGTAGACACACCTGCCACCACCAATACCATCAGAGGTGAGTCAGTTCTGTTGTCAGATCAAGTAGACACACCTGCCACCAATACCATCAGAGGTGAGTCAGTTCTGTTGTCAGATCAAGTAGACACACCTGCCACCAATACCATCAGAGGTGAGTCAGTTCTGTTGTCAGATCAAGTAGACACACCTGCCACCAATACCATCAGAGGTGAGTCAGTTCTGTTGTCAGATCAAGTAGACACACCTGCCACCAATACCATCAGAGGTGAGTCAGTTCTGTTGTCAGATCAAGTAGACACACCTGCCACCAATACCATCAGAGGTGAGTCAGTTCTGACAAAGTTATTTGTTTTGTTTTGTGCTGTTATGAAACATTCATGTCTGTTCCACCTGTAAAGGTCAAAGTGAGAGGGTCGACTTCATCGACTTTATCTCATGTGGCTCAGACTCTCCACAGAACAGCTAGCTGCTTGCCTGAGATTGTCACACAGAGTGCGACCTCCTTAGCTCCGGTGATGATCCCTTCTGGTGTCTCTCTCTTCTGGTGATTCTCTTTCTTCTATTGATTCTCCCTCTCTGTCCTGATGAATCTTTACTGGAGATTCTTTCTCTGACTCATTCTGATGATTCTCTGTCCTTGTGATTCTCTTCTGGTGGTTCTCTTTCTGGTTATTCTCTCTCCTTGTGATTTTTTTTTACCTGGTGATTCTCTCTATTTTGGGGATTCTCTCTTCTTGTGATTTTCTGTCTTCTGGTAATTCTCTTTCTATCCTGTTGGTCCTCTATTTTGGTGATTCTCTTTTCTTTTTGTGATTCCATCTTGACGATTCGCTCTTTGCGATTCTCTTCTGTGGATTATTTCCTGGTGATTCTATCCAAGTGTTTCTCTTTTGCTAATTCTCTCCTGATGGTTATTTTTTGGTGATTCTCATCTATTGATTCTTTCCTGATGATGCTCTCTCCTGATGATTCTTTCTCTTCATGTGATTCTCTTCTATTGATTTTCTCCTGGTGGTTATCTCCATGTGATATTCTCTTCTATTGATTTTCTCCTGATGGTTATCTCCATGGGATATTCTCTTCTATTGATTTTCTTCTGATGGTTATCTCCATGTGATATTCTCTTCTATTGATTTTCTTCTGATGGTTATCTCCATGTGATATTCTCTTCTATTGATTTTCTTCTGATGGTTATCTCCATGGGATATTCTCTTCTGTGATCCTCTCCTAATGGTTATCTCCATGTGATTTTCTCTTCTGTGATCATCTCCTGATGGTTATCTCTGGGTGATGATTGTCTTATGTGATTCTCTCCTATTGGTTATCTCTGGGTAATTCTCTTCTATAATCCTCTTGTTAATTTGTCAAAGCATCAGAGAATGTCAGGCTTGGCTTGCGTGTCCATTTCTTAGTGTTTGACAAATAAACTTCAATCATGAGTTCTCTTACAACAAGTGACAGCTTGAATAGGAGGATGAGCACAGGATACAAGTGATAGCTTGGATAGGAAGATGAGCACAGGATTCAAGTGATAGCTTGGATAGGAAGATGAGCACAGGATACAAGTGATAGCTTGGATAGGTAGATGAGCACAGGATACAAGTGACAGCTTGGATAGGAAGATGAGCACAGGATACAAGTGACAGCTTGGATAGGAAGATGAGCACAGGATACAAGTGATAGCTTGGATAGGTAGATGAGCACAGGATACAAGTGACAACTTGGATAGGTAGATGAGCACAGGATACAAGTGACAGCTTGGATAGGTAGATGAGCACAGGATACAAGTGATAGCTTGGATAGGTAGATGAGCACAGGATACAAGTGATAGCTTGGATAGGTAGATGAGCACAGGATACAAGTGATAGCTTGGATAGGTTGATGAGCACAGGATACAAGTGACAGCTTGGAAAGGTTGATGAGCACAGGATACAAGTGATAGCTTGGGTAGGTAGATGAGCACAGGATACAAGTGATAGCTTGGATAGGTAGATGAGCACAGGATACAAGTGATAGCTTGGGTAGGTAGATGAGCACAGGATACAAGTGACAGCTTGGATAGGTAGATGAGCACAGGATACAAGTGATAGCTTGGATAGGTAGATGAGCACAGGATACAAGTGATAGCTTGGATAGGTTGATGAGCACAGGATACAAGTGATAGCTTGGATAGGTAGATGAGCACAGGATACAAGTGATAGCTTGGGTAGGTAGATGAGCACAGGATACAAGTGACAGCTTGGATAGGTAGATGAGCACAGGATACAAGTGATAGCTTGGGTAGGTAGATGAGCACAGGATACAAGTGATAGCTTGGATAGGTAGATGAGCACAGGATACAAGTGATAGCTTGGATAGGTTGATGAGCACAGGATACAAGTGACAGCTTGGAAAGGTTGATGAGCACAGGTAACAAGCGACAGCTTGGGTGGGAAGATGCATGATGCGGGAGAGCTGACAAAAGACTGAATTTATTTTCAAGCAGGCTGTGATGGGAGTGGATAGGATTTTCTTCATCATGATAATGTTTTTCTCTCTAACTTTCTCTCTTTCTCTCTCTATCTGTCTGTGAATGTATTGATTTACATTTTTACATTGAATTTCTAGATGCAGCAGAACTGAGGACAGTCAGAGAAAGTCAGGACCGTTCCCGGATGTCCGAGCTGAGAGAGGGTCAGGATCGTTCCCGGATGTCCGAGCTGAGAGAGAGTCAGGATCGTTCCCGAGTCTCTGAGCTGAGAGAGGGTCAGGATCGTTCCCGGATGACCGAGCAGAGAGAGGGTCAGGACCGTTCTCGAGTGCCCGAGCTGACAAAAGTTCAAGACCGTTCTCGAGTGCCCGAGCTGACAAAAGTTCAAGATCGTTCTCGAGTGCCTGAGCTGACAAAAGGTCAAGAACGTTCCCGACTGCCCGAGCTGAGAGACAGAGAGGCCAGTTTGAGGAGGACTGATGTTGCTAGAAGAGGGGATTCCCCACCTAGCAGACGCGGAGATGAGTTTGCTGATCAGGACTTGCGGCTGTTTGAAGCTGCTGGGGTCAGCAGCCAGAGAATGTGGCTCAGTGATGATACTGATCTGCGTGATGACAACAGAGGCAGCCGGGCCCCCTTGAGACAACGAGATAGATTTGCTGAAGAGGAAGATCTCAGGGGAAGCAGAAGGTCTGGCCTTGGTTCCAGAGATGATGGTCGCAGAAGCAGAGACAAGGATAGTGAAGCTGTGAGGTTGTTGCCTCGGGATGATGTCCGCTCTACAGATTACCTAGAGAAACATGATGACTACTACGGTCGCAGAAGTGATATGTATGATCGCAGAATTCAGGACCCTTACTTGGATCGAAGCAGTGATTACATGCGACAGCGAGAAGAAAGACAAAGTGGGGATGTGTTCCCAGGCAGAGATGGTCGATACAGCAGTAACAGTGATGTTGGCCTTCATGGACAAGACAGGTGAGTTTGCCCCTGTCTCATACCTGTCTTCTACATATCTGAGACCTGTCTTCTGTTTATCTGAGACCTGTTTATCTGAGATTTGTCTGTTTTGTTTTGTCTGAGACCTGTCTATTGTTTGAGACCTGCTTCTAAATGTCTGATGCTATCTTTGCATATTTGTGTCCTTTTTTTTTTGTGTGAGGACAAAAATTATTATTTTTGCTAACAAATATGTAAAGAGAGCATATATTTCTTAGATTATTAAATTTAACATTGGCCTATTTTCTTTCTTTTTGTAATATGTCTATATATGTTTTCTGTGTGTGTGTTTATGCATGTTTGTGTGTATCCCAGTTTCCTTGTGGATAGATACATCATACTTTCATGATGAATTCCAGTGATGTTTGTTCTGTAGTCTCAGTCAGTGATGTTTGTTCTGTAGTCTCAGCCAGTGATGTTTGTTCTGTAGTCTCAGTCAGTGATGTTTGTTACATGATTTATGTAAGTTTAGCCAGTGATGTTTGTTCTGTAGTCTCAGTCAGTGATGTTTGTTCTGTAGTCTCAGTCAGTGATGTTTGTTACATGATTTATGTATGTTCAGCCAGTGATGTTTGTTCTGTAGTCTCAGTCAGTGATGTTTGTTCTGTAGTCTCAGCCAGTGATGTTTGTTCTGTAGTCTCAGTCAGTGATGTTTGTTACATGATTTATGTATGTTCAGCCAGTGATGTTTGTTCTGTAGTCTCAGTCAGTGATGTTTGTTCTGTAGTCTCAGTCAGTGATGTTTGTTCTGTAGTCTCAGTCAGTGATGTTTGTTCTGTAGCCTCAGCCAGTGATGTTTGTTTTGTAGTCTCAGTCAGTGATGTTTGTTACATGATTTATGTAAGTTTAGCCAGTGGTGTTTGTTCTGTAGTCTCAGCCAGTGATGTTTGTTCTGTAGTCTCAGTCAGTGATGTTTGTTACATGATTTATGTAAGTTTAGCCAGTGATATTTGTTCTGTAGTCTCAGTCAGTGATGTTTGTTCTGTAGTCTCAGCCAGTGATGTTTTTTATGTAGTCTCAGTCAGTGATGTTTGTTCTGTAGTCTCAGTCAGTGATGTTTGTTCTGTAGTCTCAGTCAGTGATGTTTGTTCTGTAGTCTCAGTCAGTGATGTTTGTTCTGTAGTCTCAGCCAGTGATGTTTGTTCTGTAGTCTCAGTCAGTGATGTTTGTTCTGTAGTCTCAGTCAGTGATGTTTGTTCTGTAGTCTCAGTCAGTGATGTTTGTTACATGATTTATGTAAGCTCAGCTAGTGATGTTTGTTCTGTAGTCTCAGCCAGTGATATTTGTTACATGATTTATGTAAGTTTAGCCAGTGATGTTTGTTCTGTAGTCTCAGCCAGTGATGTTTGTTCTGTAGTCTCAGTCAGTGATGCTTGTTACATGATTTATGTAAGTTTAGCCAGTGATGTTCGTTCTGTAGTCTCAGTCAGTGATGTTCGTTCTGTAGTCTCAGTCAGTGATGTTTGTTACATGATTTATGTAAGTTTAGCCAGTGATGTTTGTTCTGTAGTCTCAGTCAGTGATGTTTGTTCTGTAGTCTCAGTCAGTGATGTTTGTTCTGTAGTCTCAGTCAGTGATGTTTGTTACATGATTTATGTATGTTCAGCCAGTGATGTTTGTTCTGTAGTCTCAGTCAGTGATGTTTGTTCTGTAGTCTCAGTCAGTATGTTTGTTCTGTAGTCTCAGTCAGATATGTTTGTTGTGTAGTCTCAGCCAGTGATGTTTGTTCTGTAGTCTTCAGCCAGTGATGTTTGTTCTGTAGTCTCAGTCAGTGATGTTTGTTCTGTAGTCCCAGTCAGTGATGTTTGTTCTGTAGTCTCAGTCAGTGATGTTTGTTCTGTAGTCTCAGCCAGTGATGTTTGTTCTGTAGTCTCAGCCAGTGATGTTTGTTCTGTAGTCTCAGTCAGTGATGTTTGTTACATGATTTATGTAAGCTCAGCTAGTGATGTTTGTTCTGTAGTCTCAGCCAGTGATGTTTGTTCTGTAGTCTCAGTCAGTGATGTTTGTTCTGTAGTCTCAGTCAGTGATGTTTGTTCTGTAGTCTCAGCCAGTGATGTTTGTTCTGTAGTCTCAGTCAGTGATGTTTGTTCTGTAGTCTCAGTCAGTGATGTTTGTTCTGTAGTCTCAGTCAGTAATGTTTGTTACATGATTTATGTAAGCTCAGCTAGTGATGTTTGTTCTGTAATCTCAGCCAGTGATGTTTGTTCTGTAGTCTCAGTCAGTGATGTTTGTTACATGATTTATGTAAGTTTAGCCAGTGATGTTTGTTCTGTAGTCTCAGCCAGTGATGTTTGTTCTGTAGTCTCAGTCAGTGATGTTTGTTACATGATAAATGTAAGTTTAGCCAGTGATGTTTGTTGTGTAGTCTCAGCCAGTGATGTTTGTTCTGTAGTCTCAGTCAGTGATGTTTGTTACATGATTTATGTAAGTTTAGCCAGTGATGTTTGTTCTGTAGTCTCAGTCAGTGATGTTTGTTCTGTAGTCTCAGTCAGTGATGTTTGTTCTGTAGTCTCAGTCAGTGATGTTCGTTCTGTAGTCTCAGTCAGTGATGTTTGTTACATGATTTATGTAAGTTTAGCCAGTGATGTTTGTTCTGTAGTCTCAGTCAGTGATGTTTGTTCTGTAGTCTCAGTCAGTGATGTTTGTTCTGTAGTCTCAGTCAGTGATGTTCGTTCTGTAGTCTCAGTCAGTGATGTTTGTTACATGATTTATGTATGTTCAGCCAGTGTTGTTTATTCTGTAGTCTCAGTCAGTGATGTTTGTTCTGTAGTCTCAGTCAGTGATGTTTGTTCTGTAGTCTCAGCCAGTGATGTTTGTTACATGATTTATGTAAGTTTAGCCAGTGATGTTCGTTCTGTAGTCTCAGTCAGTGATGTTTGTTCTGTAGTCTCAGTCAGTGATGTTTGTTCTGTAGTCTCAGCCAGTGATGTTTGTTCTGTAATCTCAGCCAGTGATGTTTGTTCTGTAATCTTGACTAGTGAAGGTGCCATATTGACACCTATATTTGACTTGTCCAGCAGGGACCGCTTGGGTCGCCCCTTGTCCCCGGCAATTCGGGACAGCACATTACTGACCACACCTCCACCACAGAGCAAGCCAGAGTCCGTCAAGGTTGGTGTCCCATGCTCCCATGGACAGCCTGGCTGATGTTGTCCTGTTTTATCATCTGCATCATTTCTGTCTCATCTCTGCCCTCATATCCTGTCATCTCACTGTGTGCTGTTATCTCACTGTGTTCCTATTATCTCACTGTGTTGCTATTATTTCACTGTGTTCCTTTTATCTCATTGTGTTCCTGTTATCTTACTGTGTTCCTGTTATCTCACCCTATCCCTGTTAGCTCACTGTGTTCCTGATATCTCATGTGTTCCTTTTATCTTGCTGTGTCATGTTATCTCACCGTGTCCTGTTATCTCACCTTGTCCTGTTGTTATCTCACTGTTTCCCTGTTATAACACTGTGTCTTGTTATGACACTGCATTCCTATGATCTCACTATGTCCTGCTATCTCACCGTGTTTCTGTTATCTCAATGTGTCCTGTTATCTCACTGTGTTTCTGTTATCTCACTGTGTCCTGTTTTCACTGTGTCCTGTTATCTCACTCTCATGATATCTCTTTGTGCCCTGTTATAGCTGTGTCCTGTTATCTCACTCTCGTGATATCTCTATGTCTTGTTATGTCACAGTCCTGTTCTCTCACCATGTCATGTTATCTCTGTCCAGTGGAATCATAGTACACTAGAGGTTCAGGGTATACATATAGATAAGGGGGGCACAGTGTGGAATTTAGTAAATGTTTACACTGCGGTTGACTCTCTTGTCACAAAGGAACATTAGGACTGGCTCAAAGAGTTAGAGGAAATTTCATTTGTTTGGATTTCAATGTGCGGAACAGAGCATGGGACAGTACTGTGGAAAATAGTCAAGGAAATGCTTTAGCAGAGGCTATGGTGGATGCACACGGTGCCTTTATAAACGATGGTAGGCCAACTAGAATGGTAATAAGACCTGGTGATGCAGGCACGGCTATCGATTTGGCATTTCTTACTCAGTCAGCAGTGCTGGACACAAAAAGGAGTGTTCTAGTTATGTCAGTGTCCTGTTATGTGACTGCCATGTTATGTCACTGTGTCCTGTTATCTGACTGCCATGTTACATCACTGTGTCCTGTTATGTGACTGCCATGTTATATCACTGTGTCCTGTTATCTGACTTCCACGTGTCACTGTGTCCTGTTATCTGACTTCCACATGTCACTGTAACCTGTTATCTGACTGCCATGTTATGTCACTGTGTCCTGTTATCTGACTGCCATGTTATGTCACTGTGTCCTGTTATCTGACTGCCATGTTACATCACTGTGTCCTGTTATCTGACTGCCATGTTATGTCACTGTGTCCTGTTATCTGACTGCCATGTTACATCACTGTGTCCTGTTATCTGACTTCCACATGTCACTGTGTCCTGTTATCTGACTGCCATGTTATATCACTGTGTCCTGTTATGTGACTGCCATGTTATGTCACTGTGTCCTTTTATCTGCCCAGTTATGTCGCTGTGTCCTGTTATCTGCCCTGTTGTGTCGCTGTGTCCTGTTATCTGCCCTGTTATGTCGCTGTGTCCTGTTAACTGCCATGTTACGTCACTGTGTCCTGTTATCTGCCCTGTTATGTCGCTGTGTCCTGTTATCTGCCCTGTTATGTCGTTGTGTTCTGTTATCTGCTATGTTACGTCACTGTGTCCTGTTATCTGCCCTGTTATGACGTTGTGTCCTTTTATCTGCCCAGTTATGTCGCTGTGTCCTGTTATCTGCCCTGTTATGTCGCTGTGTCCTGTTGTCTGTTTGTGGTAAAAGCTGATTGGGATTCGGTCACACAGCAGTGAAACAGTGAAACAGAACACCCATAGCAGGAGGGACTGGTTGAGTGGTCAGCCCGTGGCAATGTTCAGCACATAAGAGTTCCACTGACACTGTCAACGTGAACATTTTTTTACTGGCTGCTAGAGATTTGGAAGCAGCGTACATGGGACTGCACCTGGAGTAGTGATGTTAATTGTGGATTTATCCTGTGTGTTCTAGGTTGAAGATCTCCTGTGTCCACCCAACCGAGACAGCCGCCCCCCACAGATCGTGACCATCATCAGAGGTCTGCCTGGAAGTGGGAAAACTTACGTCAGCAAGCTTCTCCGGGTGAGTGAGTGTGCCAGTGGCTTCTCCGGGTGAGTGAGTGTGCCAGTGGCTTCTCCGGGTGAGTCTGCCAGTGGCTTCTCCGGGTGAGTCTGCCAGTGGCTTCTCCGGGTGAGTCTGCCAGTGGCTTCTCCGAGTGAGTAAGTGTGCCAGTGGCTTCTCCGTGTGAGTGTGTGTGCCAGTGACTTCTCTGGGTGAGTGAGTCTGCCAGTGACTTCTCTGGGTGAGTAAGTCTGCCAGTGACTTCTCCGGGTGAGTGAGTGTGCCAGTGGCTTCTCCTGGTGAGTGAGTGTGCCATTGGCTTCTCCGGGTGAGTAAGTGTGCCAGTGGCTTCTCTGGGTGAGTGAGTCTGCCAGTGACTTCTCTGGGTGAGTAAGTCTGCCAGTGACTTCTCCGGGTGAGTGAGTGTGCCAGTGGCTTCTCCGGGTGAGTGAGTGTGCCATTGGCTTCTCCGGGTGAGTGAGTGTGCCATCGGCTTCTCTGGGTGAGTGAGTCTGCCAGTGACTTCTCCGGGTGAGTGAGTGTGCCAATGGCTTCTCCGGGTGAGTCTGCCAGTGGCTTCTCCTGGTGAGTGAGTCTGCCAATGGCTTCTCCGGGTGAGTGAGTCTGCCAGTGGCTTCTCCGGGTGAGTCTGCCAGTGGCTTCTCCGTGTGAGTCTGCCAGTAGCTTCTCCGGGTGAGTCTTCCAGTGAGTTTGCCAGTGGCTTCTCCGGGTGAGTGAGTCTGCCAGTGGCTTCTCCGGGTGAGTGAGTCTGCCAGTGGCTTCTCCGGGTGAGTGAGTCTGCCAGTGGCTTCTCCGGGTGAGTGAGTCTGCCAGTGGCTTCTCTGGGTGAGTGAGTCTGCCAGTGGCTTCTCCGGGTGAGTGAGTCTGCCAGTGGCTTCTCCGGGTGAGTGAGTCTGCCAGTGGCTTCTCCGGGTGAGTGAGTCTGCCAGTGGCTTCTCCGGGTGAGTGAGTCTGCCAGTGGCTTCTCCGGGTGAGTGAGTCTGCCAGTGGCTTCTCCAGGTGAGTCTGCCAGTGGCTTCTCTGGGTGAGTGTATGTGCCAGTGGCTTCTCTGTTTGAGTGAGTGGGCCAGTGGCTTCTCCGGGTGAGTGAGTCTGCCAGTGGCTTCTCCGGGTGAGTGAGTGTGCCAGTGGCTTCTCCGGGTGAGTGTATGTGCCAGTGGCTTCTCTGTTTCAGTGAGTCTGCCAGTGGCTTCTCTGGGTGAGTGAGTCTGCCAGTGGCTTCTCTGGGTGAGTGAGTCTGCCAGTGGCTTCTCCGGGTGAGTCTGCCAGTGGCTTCTCCTGGTGAGTGAGTCTGCCAATGGCTTCTCCGGGTGAGTGAGTCTGCCAGTGGCTTCTCCGGGTGAGTCTGCCAGTGGCTTCTCCGGGTGAGTCTGCCAGTGGCTTCTCCGGGTGAGTCTGCCAGTGGCTTCTCCGTGTGAGTGAGTCTGCCAGTGGCTTCTCCGGGTGAGTCTGCCAGTGGCTTCTCTGGGTGAGTCTGCCAGTGGTTTGTATGGCAACCCCCATGTGGGTTCTGGAGCTACATTTTGGGGGAAAGAGGATAGGGCCACTGGTTAGTGACAAGCATGTCCTGAAATTTGACCACTTCGAAGTTTGACCATAATGCACATATATTGCAGCCTAGCTGTGAACCACAGCACAGTGTGCTAACTACCTTTTCAAGAGGAAATGCTGAAGTGCTAGTAGTTTGTGTGTCTTCATGTCATCAGTAACTCGTAAATATAAGAAAATTTGCCTTTTCAAGGCCACAAGGTTAAGACTGCCTAACACAGCACACAGATATTTGAAACCTTATTAAAAGATAGATTATAAATAAGTAAGCTGTTGTCTGTGAATTGCTTTTGAGCCAAAGACATTAAATAAAAGGTGATGCTACGCAATAATAACAATGTACACCTGTAACTTGTAATGAGAAAACACTATCAATAAAGACTTCACAGAGGATAGCGGCTTTTTGTCATCAGTGCTTCATACCAGTGTGAAGCTTGGACCTGTGTTACAATTGTTGCAGCTAATCTTGGGATGGCCAGTCTTCTGGGGGAACTTTGGACTACCCCAATGCACAACTTTGCCACAGGTGTATGAGGTCATTCAATAGAGTATTTTATTAGATGAATTATGGGTGTAGTAGTGGATGAGGTTAGTGGAATGTTCTAGTGGATAACTTGCAGACAGATGAAGTCAAGGCAAGACAGGAAGACTGATGGATGTTGTGATTATGTTGGTTTCAGGAAAAGGAGATCAGTTGTGGGGGGTCTGCCCCGAGGATGTTGTGTCTGGACGACTACTTCATGGTGGATCTGGAACAGGAAGTGCCAGATCCAGACACGGGCAAGAAGGTCAAGAAAAGGGTGAGCAAAGTTTGTTAAAAACATCACATTAAACAGTGTAATAACATCCTGTCAGACAAACAGTGTAATAACATCCTGTCATACAGTGTGATAATGTCATGTCAGAAAGTGTGATAATATCCTGTCAGACAGTGTGGTAACATCTTGTCAGACATTGTGAAAACTTCCTCAGCCACATCCAGTTTTGTTGTACAGTTTGTTCATGTTTAAATTCCAATTATGTCTTGCTTCAGATGAAAGATTGTGTTCATGTTTACTTTGTGTTCATCTTGTACATTCACAATGTCTATGGCTGTTTCATTCTGATACATTTGTAATACCCTGTGGCTGTTTCACTCTATGTTAATTGTATGTATGACTTTTATTCTAATGCATTAATTGTATGTAGAACTGTTTCAGTCTAATAGCTTCATTGTGTGACTGTTTCAGTTTAATAGCTTCATTGTGTGACTGTTTCAGTCTAATAGCTTCATTGTGTGACTGTTTCAGTCTAATAGCTTCATTGTGTGACTGTTTCAGTCTAATAGCTTCATTGTGTGACTGTTTCAGTCTAATAGCTTCATTGTGTGACTGTTTCAGTCTAATAGCTTCATTGTGTGACTGTTTCAGTCTAATAGCTTCATTGTGTGACTGTTTCAGTCTAATAGCTTCATTGTGTGACTGTTTCAGTCTAATACATTGATTGTTTGTGTAACTGTTTTAAGCCAGTGATTGAATTGTCCCTGATCTGATGTTGATATCATGGTTGCGTGATTGGATTGTACCCAGCCTGATGTTGATGTCATGGTTGAGTGATTGGATTGTACCCGATCTGATGTTGATGTCATGGTTGAGTGATTGGATTGTACCCGATCTGATGTTGATGTCAATGTTGAGTGATTGGATTGTACCTGATCTGATGTTGATGTCATGGTTGAGTGATTGGATTGTACCCAATCTGATGTTGATGTCATTGTTGAGTGATTGGATTGTACCTGATCTGATGTTAAGGTCGTGGTTGAGTGATAATTGCAAGAAAGGGTCACCACTGACAGTGTATGACCACTTTGCCTGCTGTCTGTCCCCAGGTGCTGGAGTACGAGTATGAGCAAGCCCTGGAGGACCCCTACAGGCAGAGCCTGCTAAAGTCATTTAAGAAGACCATCGACGATGGCTTCTTCCCTTTCATCATTGTGGATGCCACCAACGAGAAAGTGGCTCATTTCTCCGAGTTCTGGAGCTATGCCAAATCCAAGGGTTTTCAGGTTTCTACATAAATGCTCTCTGATGTGTCACAATGTGGCTTTCTGTTGTGATAATTTCTCTGTTGTGTCACATTCTGGGTTTTTGTTGTGATGATTTCTCTGTTGTGTCACATTGTGGGTTTTTGTTGTGATGATTTCTCTGTTGTGTCACGTTGTGGCTTTTTGTTGTGATGATTTCTTTGTTGTATCACATTGTACCTTTATGTTGTGATGATTTCTCTGTTGTATCACATTGTACCTTTATGTTGTGATGATTTCTATGTTGTGTCACATTGTACCTTTATGTTGTGATAATTTCTCTGTTGTATCACATTGTACCTTTATGTTGTGATGATTTCTCTGTTGTATCACATTGTACCTTTATGTTGTGATGATTTCTCTGTTGTATCACATTGTACCTTTATGTTGAGATGATTTCTGTGTTGTGTCACATTGTACCTTTATGTTGTGATAATTTCTCTGTTGTATCACATTGTACCTTTATGTTGTGATGGTTTCTCTGTTGTGTCACATTGTACCTTTATGTTGTGATAATTTCTCTGTTGTATCACATTGTACCTTTATGTTGTGATGATTTCTCTGTTGTATCACATTGTACTTTATGTTGTGATGGTTTCTCTGTTGTATCACATTGTACTTTTTTTTATTGTGATGATTTCTCTGTTGTATCACATTGTACCTTTATGTTGTGATGATTTCTCTGTTGTATCACATAGTACCTTTATGTTGTGATGATTTCTCTGTTGTATCACATTGTACTTTTTTTTATTGTGATGATTTCTCTGTTGTATCACATTGTACCTTTATGTTGCGATAGTTTCTCTGTTGTATCACATTGTACCTTTATGTTGAGATGGTTTCTCTGTTGTATCACATTGTACCTTTATGTTGCGATGGTTTCTCTGTTGTATCACATTGTACCTTTATGTTGAGATGGTTTCTCTGTTGTATCACATTGTAGCTTTATGTTGTGATGGTTTCTCTGTTGTATCACATTGTACCTTTATGTGGAGATGGTCTTGCCCCTAGCTTGCATCAGCTGTCACTGTAATGTCATGTCTGTGAGTTTACACTGAATGTTTATGCCTTCATCTCCAGGTTTATGTTGGAGAGCTGACCGTTGATGTGGCCACCTGTATACAGCGCAATGTCCACCACTGGACCGAGTGGGACATTGAGAAGGTAAGGGCCTTACGTTTGGAGGGCCAGAGAGGGGACATCATCATAAGGTCTCTCACTGGCCCTAATTCCATTTATTTGATGGCAAAAGCAAAAGCTCATCCAATTCGTTTCCTCTACATCCTAGTGTAGCTAAGGAAAGACTCAACAAGACTAGCTTATTTTTCTGCTGTCACACTTAAAGGGATGGTTGGCAAGTTGTTATTGTGGTTTACAGCTGGGCTGGGATATGTGCACCTTTTGGGCCAACACATTTGGTTTCTGTAAACCTGTAATTTGTCACCTCCTATGACATGTTGACTTCTGTGGCTTAGGTATTGCAAGCATGCTTCATAATTCTGGGGTGCTGGTTCGAACCTAGCTATTAACAGCAGACCACCTTGCCTTGGTATCAAGAGCCCACTGTGGCAATGGCAAACTACCATATGTAAAACTGCCACAACAGAAAATGCTGGGATTTGTTCTCCAATGTCCTGGAAAGGGTAGGCAGCTAACTTGAACTGGTATAACCTGCTCTTGGGGGGGAGGGGTGGCAACGCAGGTCAGCTAACTTGAACTGGTATGACCTGCTCTGGGGGGGGGGGGGGGGGGCAACGCAGGTCAACTAACTTGAACTGGTATAACCTGCTCTTGGGGGAGGGGGGGGGGGGGGGGGGGGGGGGGGGTTGGCAAAGCAGGTCAGCTAACTTAAACTGGTATGACCTGCTCTTGGAGCCCACTTGGAGTTTGGCATCGCAGGTCACTGCCATTTTCTCAAATCGTGGAATCAAACTGGACACGGCCACCCTCATTTCCTTTTACACATTGATTATTGCTCTATACTTGCTTTTTATTACATCGACCACCGAAAACCCAGCTTCGCAGAAATACAACTTTGAAGATGGAATTGAAACTTCTGAGCCTTATCACTTAGAAGGGGATATTCATCGTTTATTGAAATCCAAACCTCTGTAAATTTTACGATGCCAAATTTTGCTTTCAAATTGTTATTGCAAGATAACTCGATAAGATTCCCTTCTTCTGCTGAAGTAATTTCAGACGGAGCACTAGTGTTAAATAGATCTTTTATCCATGCAAACATATCGACATTTTCATTTTGCAAATGTTTCCTAAACCAGATAATTAGCTGTGATCAGTGCTCCCCAAGCATGGTTTTTTGACCTAAAAATTTGCTGCAACATTGGAACACAATCTTTGCCTGCATCGTCATTGAATTTTCGTTTCCATAATTTAAAAATATATATATATGCTGATAATTTTTTTTTTTATTTCTAAAAGTGCATGCTTTTTACCTGCAGAGAGGATTAAGAGAATTCAGCTTTCAAAAATGTTGCACAAAAATGCGTCTTATTTAAAAACCGGCAGCAGCAAAATATTTTGCATCTTTTATTCTTCTTTTCTGAGGAAAATAAAAATATATCGCAATTCAAAGGTGTTTGATAAAACATTACCACGAGAGAGCCATCATACACTGCTAGTACAACAAAGAAGAGTGTTCGGCTCCCATATCCTCACACTTTTTAAAAAAACCTTGCTTTCAATGGACGAGATTTTATAAAAGTTACCATATTCACCAGACATTGTAACACCTGATCCAGTGCAGAACTGAGATACTTTGACGCCAATGCTTCTCTATGAATAAGGCAATGGGCCCACATTGCATTTAGAAATTTGCTTCGAATAATCACCTGTAAACCTCCATAGCAGCCAGACATGGCCCCAAAAAATCACGATCAAATGGCATGACTGAGAAGACGCAGCGTTGACGGCAAGCGTTTGCAAGGATATTCTGCGCCGGTTCCTCTATTTTCATACAGGGCCAAATAAAAACAAATCACACCCAGAAAAAATGTAGATAATTTTAGCTTCTCACATTTTTGTTTGTTTAGGCCAAATGTATTGGTTTAATTAATTATGAAGCTTTAACAATATTTTGCGGCGCCTCTGTGGAGAGTTCGCGGCCTCCCATGGCGCTTAGTTTGGAAATCACTGAGTTAGTGGTTTTGATCTTCTTTGGGGTAGTGGCCTTCTAGTTACCTGTGGTATACATTGATTGGGGTAGTGGCCATCTAGTTACCTGTGGTATACATAGATTGGGGTAGTGGCCATCTAGTTACCTGTGGTATACATTGATTAGGGTAGTGCCTTCTAGTTACCTGTGGTATACATAGATTGGGGTAGTGGCCTTCTAGTTACCTGTGGTATACATAGATCAGGGTAGTGGCCTTCTAGTTACCTGTGGTATACATAGATTGGGGTAGTGGCCATCTAGTTACCTGTGGTATACTTAGATTGGGGTAGTGGCCTTCTAGTTACCTGTGGTATACATAGATCAGGGTAGTGGCCTTCTAGTTACCTGTGGTATACATAGATTGGGGTAGTGGCCATCTAGTTACCTGTGGTATACATAGATTACGGTAGTGGCCTTCTAATTACCTGTGGTATACTTAGATTGGGGTAGTGGCCTTCTAGTTACCTGTGGTATACATAGATTGGGGTAGTGGCCTTCAAGTTACCTGTGGTATACATTGATTGGGGTAGTGGCCTTCTAGTTACCTGTGGTATACATAGATCGGGGTAGTGGCCATCTAGTTACCTGTGGTATACATAGATCGGGGTAGTGGCCATCTAGTTACCTGTGGTATACATAGATCGGGGTAGTGGCCTTCTAGTTACCTGTGGTATACATAGATCGGGGTAGTGGCCATCTAGTTACCTGTGGTATACATAGATCGGGGTAGTGGCCTTCTAGTTACCTGTGGTATACATAGATCGGGGTAGTGGCCATCTAGTTACCTGTGGTATACATAGATCGGGGTAGTGGCCTCTCCCTTGTCTTACTGACATTGTTCCTTATCTTACTGACATCTTCCTTGTCTAATTGGCCAGTCCCTTATCTTACTGACATCTCCCTTGTCTAAATGGCCAGTCCCTTATCTTACTGACATCTACTTGTCTAACTGGCCAGTCCCTTATCTTACTGACATCTTCCTTGTCTAACTGGCCAGTCCCTTATCTTAACTGACATCTTCCTTGTCTAACTGGGCAGTCCCTTATCTTACTGACATCTTCCTTGTTTACTGACATTGTCCCTAGTTTAACTGACATCCTAGTCTTTTTGACATGCAGCACTAACTTTTTTCACAATCACACAAAACAACCTTGCATCAGCTAGTAGTTTTACCACATGGATCAGGATTTATACTCAGCTGGGAGACTTACCACAGGATCAGAGTCTGTCCTCGGCTGGGGGACTTACAAAAGGATCAGAGTCTGTCCTCAGCTGGGAGACTAACAACAGGATCAGAGTCTGTCCTCAGCTGGGAGACTTAAACAGGATCAGAGTCTGTCCTCGGCTGGGGGACTTACAAAAGGATCAGAGTCTGTCCTCAGCTGGAAGACTTACCACAGGATCAGAGTCTGTCCTCAGCTGGGAGACTTAAACAGGATCAGAGTCTGTCCTCGGCTGGGGGACTTACAAAAGGATCAGAGTCTGTCCTCAGCTGAGAGACTTACCACAGGATCAGAGTCTGTCCTCAGCTGAGAGACTTACAACAGGATCAGAGTCTGTCCTCAGCTGGAAGACTTACAACAGGATCAGAGTCTGTCCTCAGCTGAGAGACTTACCACAGAAATCAGTCTATCCTATATATTTCTGGAATCTAGAAGTATGTCTGTCATCCCTGATGTCTGTGTGTTGTCTGTCAATAGGTAGTAATGGAAGACAGCCAAACAGAGAATGTTGCTGAAGACAAGGATGCTAAGAAAGTTGGAGAAGAAGAAGAAGAAGATGAAGAGGAAGCAGAATCTAAAAAGGTAAGGATTCATGTTGATTGTTCATGTGACATGAAAGTCTGGGGTGTGTGTCTGGCAAGAAAGTCTGGGTTATGTGTCTAACAAGAAAGTCTAGGGCGTGTGTCAAACAAGAAAGTCTGGGGTGTGTGTCTGGCAAGAAAGTCTGGGGTGTGTGTCTGGCAAGAAAGTCTGGGGTGTGTGTCTGACAAGAAAGTCTGTGGTGTGTGTCTGGCAAGAAAGTCTGGGGTGTGTACATTGTGGCAAGCAGGAAGTCCGTGCTACAAATGACGGCACTAGATAATTGTGGCCGGTGGAGTAAGTGAGGGGAGGCCCGAGCTAGACTCGTGGTTGAATGAACCAAGACGTAGACTTGAAGTTACGCTTTCAACTATCTTGAAATGATTCTTGATTCAACTTGGAATGAACCTTGATTTGACTTGGAATGTACCTTGGTTCGGCTTGGAAAGAACCTTGGTTTACATCGACTTTAACGTCTAGGGTTGACAACACAAACGCCACTCGGCTCCTTTGTACATTCTGTCAGTTTATTCTGGTCCATTTATCTCACATGTTCAAACATTATTCACACTTCTATCACTCTCCGCACTCGTGGAGAGTGTTTAGTAACATAGGCTGACATCTGGCAAGAAAGTCTGTGGTACATGTCTAACAAGAAAGTCTGTGGTACGTGTCTGGCAAGAAAGTCTGTGGTACGTGTCTAACAAGAAAGTCATCGGATGTCATCATGATGAGGGGGGGGGGGGCGGGGAGACATGTTTTCCAGTGGGAAAGAGGAGGCACATGTCATCATAGAAACAAGCCGTGCTTGTTGAAGTGGCATGGAGAAAGAGATGACAGCATGACAAATATCTGTGTTGATCTCATAGTTATCATTGTAGTGTGTCAGTGTCTTTACTTGTTGTCAGATTATTATCATTTTTCCTTTTTTTTTTAAATATTATATATCATTGGCTTTAGTGTTAGTAAGTACATAGCTGATCCAGCCCTACTCCACTATGTCTGTCATTTATTTCAGTTAACCTACAAAAAGTCTAAATGGGAGCTGGATACATTCATGTCTTGACTGCAGCTATGGATGTGAGGTCATTGTTTGACTGCAGCAAATGGATGTTGAGGTATTCATTGTTTGACTGCAGCAATGGATGTGAGGTCATTCATTGTTTGACTGCAGCAATGGATGTGAGGTCATTCATTGTTTGACTGCAGCAGTGGATGTGAGGTCATTCATTGTTTGACTGCAGCAATGGATGTGAGGTCATTCGTTGTTTGACTGCAGCAATGGATGTGAGGTCATTCATTGTTTGACTGCAGCAATGGATGTGAGGTCATTCATTGTTTGACTGCAGCAATGGATGTGAGGTCATTCATTGTTTGACTGCAGCAATGGATGTGAGGTCATTCATTGTTTGACTGCAGCAGTGGATGTGAGTTGGACAGTATACTTGCTGACTGCAGCAGTGGATGGGAGTTGGACAGTATACTTACTGACTGCAGCAGTGGATGGGAGTTGGACAGTATACTTGCTGACTGCAGCAGTGGATGGGAGTTGGACAGTATACTTGCTGACTGCAGCAATGGATGTGATTTGGACAGTATACTTACTGACTGCAGCAGTGGATGGGAGTTGGACAGTATACTTACTGACTGCAGCAGTGGATGGGAGTTGGACAGTATACTTGCTGACTGCAGCAATGGATGGGAGTTGGACAGTATACTTGCTGACTGCAGCAATGGATGTGATTTGGACAGTATACTTACTGACTGCAGCCATGGATGTGAGTTGGACAGTATACTTACTGACTGCAGCAATGGATGTGAGTACTTGCTGACTGCAGCAATGGATGTGAGTTGGACAGTATACTTGATTGCTGACTGCAGCAGCATGGATGGATTTGGAGTTGGACAGTATACTTGCTGACTGACAGTATAATTACTGACTGCAGCAATGGATGGGAGTTGGACAGTATACTTACTGACTGCAGCAGCATGGGAGGTTGACAGTGGCAGCAAGTGGAGGGAGTTGGACAGTATACTTACTGCTGCACTGCAGATATAACTTGCAGTGGATGGGAGTTGGACAGTATACTTACTGACTGCAGCTACTGACGCAGCAGTGGATGGGAGTTGGACAGTATACTTGCTGACTGCAGCAGTGGATGGGAGTTGGACAGTATACTTGCTGACTGCAGCAATGGATGTGAGTTGGACAGTATACCTTAGCTGACTGCAGCCATGGATGTTGGAGTTACTTGCTGGACAGTATACTTACTGACTGCAGCAGACTGCAGTCATGGATGGGAGTTTGGACAGTATACTTACTGACTGCAGCCATGGATGTGAGTTGGACAGTATACTTACTGACTGCAGCCATGGATGTGAGTTGGACAGTATACTTACTGACTGCAGCCATGGATGTGAGTTGGACAGTATACTTACTGACTGCAGCCATGGATGTGAGTTGGACAGTATACTTGCTGACTGCAGCAATGGATGTGATTTGGACAGTATACTTACTGACTGCAGCCATGGATGTGAGTTGGACAGTATACTTACTGACTGCAGCCATGGATGGAGTTGGACAGATACTTGGACAGTATACTATACTTTACTGACTGCAAGCCATGGATGGAGTTGGACAGTATACTTGACTGCAGCCATGCAGTTGGACAGTATAGTTACTGGGCAGTTGGGACAGTATACTTGCTGACTGCAGCATGGATGGGAGTTGGACAGTATACTTGCTGACTGCAGCCATGGATGTGAGTTGGACAGTATACTTACTGACTGCAGCCATGCAGCCATGGATGCAGCAGGATGGAGTTGGACAGTATACTTACTGACTGCAGCCATGGATGGGAGTTGGACAGTATACTTGCTGACTGCAGCCATGGATGTGAGTTGGACAGTATACTTACTGACTGCAGCCATGGATGTGAGTTGGACAGTATACTTGCTGACTGCAGCCATGGATGGGAGTTGGACAGTATACTTGCTGACTGCAGCCATGGATGTGAGTTGGACAGTATACTTACTGACTGCAGCCATGGATGTGAGTTGGACAGTATACTTACTGACTGCAGCCATGGATGGGAGTTGGACAGTATACTTGCTGACTGCAGCCATGGATGTGAGTTGGACAGTATACTTGCTGACTGCAGCCATGGATGTGAGTTGGACAGTATACTTACTGACTGCAGCCATGGATGTGAGTTGGACAGTATACTTGCTGACTGCAGCCATGGATGTGAGTTGGACAGTATACTACTGACTGCAGCCATGACTGCAGCCATGGATGTGAGTTTGGACAGTATATTGTTTGACTGCAGCCAATGGATGTGAGTTGGGACAGTATACTTACTGACTGCAGCATGGATGTGAGTTGGACAGTATACTTGCTGACTGATGTGAGTGCAGCACTGCATGGATGTGAGTTGGACAGTATACTTGCTGACTGCAGCCATGGATGGGAGTTGGACAGTATACTTACTGACTGCAGCCATGGATGTGAGTTGGACAGTATACTTGCTGACTGCAGCCATGGATGTGAGTTGGACAGTATACTTGCTGACTGCAGCCATGGATGTGAGTTGGACAGTATACTTGCTGACTGCAGCCATGGATGTGAGTTACTTACTGACTGCAGCCATGGATGGACAGTATACTTACTGACTGCAGCCATGGATGTGAGTTGGACAGTATACTTGACTGACTGGATGTGAGCCATGGATGTGAGTTGGACAGTATATTGCTGACTGCACTGGATGTTGAGTTGGACAGTATACTTGCTGACTGCAGTATACTGCTGATGGATGTGATTTGGACAGTATACTTACTGACTGTGCATGTATACATGCAGATGGATGTGAGTTGGACAGTATACTTACTAGACTGCAGCCATGGATGTGAGTTGGACAGTATACTTACTGACTGCAGCAATGGATGTGAGTTGGACAGTATACTTACTGACTGCAGCCATGGATGGGAGTTGGACAGTATACTTACTGACTGCAGCCATGGATGTGAGTTGGACAGTATACTTACTGACTGCAGCAATGGATGTGATTTGGACAGTATACTTACTGACTGCAGCAATGGATGGGAGTTGGACAGTATACTTACTGACTGCAGCAATGGATGTGAGTTGGACAGTATACTTACTGACTGCAGCCATGGATGTGAGTTGGACAGTATACTTACTGACTGCAGCAGTGGATGGGAGTTGGACAGTATACTTACTGACTGCAGCCATGGATGTGAGTTGGACAGTATACTTACTGACTGCAGCAATGGATGTGATTTGGACAGTATACTTACTGACTGCAGCCATGGATGTGAGTTGGACAGTATACTTACTGACTGCAGCAATGGATGTGAGTTGGACAGTATACTTGCTGACTGCAGCAGTGGATGTGAGTTGGACAGTATACTTACTGACTGCGTGAGTTGGACAGAAATAATGGAGCACTGTCAGCTGGTAAATTGTGCCCACCCTCAGACATGTCTTGATGAGAGTGCCGCCTGATTCTCTGTCCACAATGTCTAAGACACAGGTTGTTGCATTGTGTCATTGGACATGTTGTTGGTCGACTGGTTGTTGGTTTACAGGTTGTTGCATTGTATCATTGGACATGTTGTTAGTTGACTGGTGGTTGCATTGTATCATTGGACATGTTGTTAGTTGACTGGTGGTTGCATTGTATCATTGGACATGTTGTTAGTTGACTGGTGGTTGCATTGTGTCATTGGACAAGTTGTTGGTTGACTGGTTGTTGCATTGTGTCATTGGACATGTTGTTGGTTGAATTAATTGAACAAGGGTCAAAGCAACAACCCCCAACACCAGGCTGACAGTGGTGTTGAGAGAGTTGTCTGGACAAAATGACCTCATTGTTGTGGCCTGTAGTAGCCTTGCTGCTGTCTGTCTCCCTACAGACAAACTGGACGGCATCAGAGTCAGCAAGAAGCACATCGCAGAGCATCAAAGCCTGAACGACTACCTGCAGCTGGACCAGATGGACGACGATTATTTCCAGAGGGAGTCTGTGCCTGGCAAAAAACGGGTGAGTAGTAGTTGAAGTCAAATATTTTCTTTGGTCTTTTTTAGTCGTCTGCGCTTGCTGTTTGGTTTCTTGTGCACATTCAGAGATGTTCAAACTATTTCCCCCCACCCCATCCCCATTCGTGTGCTGCTGCACCAGTTCCATAGATGAGAGTCCTCTAGAGCGTCACCTTGAAGTGTCTAGCATCATTTCTGTCCGTCTGACTCTTCTACTCTCATCTGTCCTGTCCTCACTGTGTTCACACAGACTGTCACTGTCTTGTAGTCTGTCCTCACTGTACAGGTTCACACAGACTATCACTGTCTTGTAGTCTGTCCTCACTGTGTTCACACAGACTGTCATTGTCTTGTAGTCTGTCCTCACTGTGTTCACACAGACTGTCACTGTCTTGTAGTCTGTCCTCACTGTGTTCACACAGACTGTCACTGTCTTGTAGTCTGTTCTCACTGTGTTCACACAGACTGTCCCTCTCTTGTAGACTGTCCTCACTGTGTTCACACAGACTGTCCCTGTCTTGTAGTCTGTCCTCACTGTGTTCACACAGACTGTCCTTATCTTGTAGTCTGTCCTCACTGTGTTCACACAGACTGTCCCTGTCTTGTAGTCTGTCCTCACTGTGTTCACACAGACTGTCCCTCTCTTGTAGCCTGTCCTCACTGTTCACACAGACTGTCACTGTCTTGTAGTCTGTCCTCACTGTGTTCACACAGACTGTCCCTCTCTTGTAGTCTGTCCTCACTGTTCACATAGACTGTCCCTGTCTTGTAGTCTGTCCTCACTGTGTTCACACAGACTGTCCCTGTCTTGTAGTCTGTCCTCACTGTGTTCACACAGACTGTCCCTATCTTGTAGTCTGTCCTCACTGTTCACATAGACTGTCCCTGTCTTGTAGTCTGTCCTCACTGTGTTTACACAGACTGTCCCTATCTTATAGTCTGTCCTCACTGTTCACACAGACTGTCCCTGTCTTGTAGCCTGTCCTCACTGTTCACACAGACTGTCCCTATCTTGTAGTCTGTCCTCACTGTGTTCACACAGACTGTCCCTGTCTTGAAGTCTGTCCTCACTGTTCACATAAACTGTTCCTATCTTGTAGTCTGTCCTCACTGGGTTCACACAGACTGTCCCTGTCTTGTAGTCTGTCCTCACTGTGTTCACACAGACTGTCCCTGTCTTGTAGTCTGTCCTCACTGTTCACACAGACTGTCCCTCTCTTGTAGTCTGTCCTCACTGTGTTCACACAGACTGTCACTATCTTGTAGTTGCTGATCTAGTTTCTCCCTAATGAGCTTGTCCTGATGAGGGTTGTGAGTCTCTGGGCTGAATGCCACATGATGATGGTTGTGAGTCTCTGGGCTGTAATGCCACATGATGATGGTTGTGAGTTTCTGGGCTGTAATGCCACATGATGATGGTTGTGTGTGTCTGGGCTGTAATGCCACATGATGATGGTTGTGAGTGTCTGGGCTGTAGTGCCACATAATGATGGTTGTGAGTTCTGGGCTGTAATGCCACATGATGATGGTTGTGAGTGTGGGTGTAATGCCACATGATGATGGTTGTGTGTGTCTGGGCTGTAATGCCACATGATGATGGTTGTGAGTGTCTGGGCTGTAATGCCACATGATGATGGTTGTGTGTGTCTGGGCTGTAATGCCACATGATGATGGTTGTGAGTGTCTGGGCTGTAATGCCACATGATGATGGTTGTGTGTGTCTGGGCTGTAATGCCACATGATGATGGTTGTGAGTGTCTGGGCTGTAGTGCCACATAATGATGGTTGTGAGTCTGGGCTGTAATGCCACATGATGTGAGTGGGTGTGTGATGTGGTTGTGGGTCTGGGCTAATGCCACATGATGATGGTTGTGAGTGTGGGCTGTGCCACATGATGATGGTTGTGTGTGTCTGGGCTGTAATGCCACATGATGATGGTTGTGAGTGTCTGGGCTGTAATGCCACATGATGATGGTTGTGTGTGTCTGGGCTGTAATGCCACATGATGATGGTTGTGTGTGTCTGGGCTGTAATGCCACATGATCATGCACGCTTAGGGTCATAGTGGTGCTAGAACATTAGCTGTCAGAGAAAACATGACAGAACTTATTGTAAGATAGAAGATTATATGTGACCTAGAACCTGCTGTCAGGGACATAACTTATTGTAAGATAGAAGATTATATGTGACCTAGAACCTGCTGTCAGGGACATAACTTATTGTAAGATAGAAGATTATATGTCACATAGAACCTGCTGTCAGGGACATAACTTATTGTAAGATAGAAGATTATATGTGACGTAGAACATGCTGTCTGGGACATAACTTATTGTAAGATACAAGATTATATGTGACATAGAAAATGATGTCATATGTAGATATAAATGACAGTGATTAACAGCAGACACGGAACACCTATATCAGACAGACATATGGTGCTTACATTATCTTAGATATGCAACATTGATATCAGTCTTAGACATTGTTGACAGAGAAATGTACCTGATACACGGCATAGAGCATACTCACCACAGAACATACAGTATAATAAACATAACCATACTTAACACAGAACAAACAGCATAGTAAACATAGAGCAAACACACAACAAACAGCAAACTAAACACAGAACATACAGTGCAAAAAACAGAGCATAATAAACACAGAACATACAGCATACTGAACATTGAGTATAATAAACACAGAACAGAGTATACTGAACCTGGAGCATAATAAACACAGAACAGAGAATGCTGAACCTGGAGCATAATAAACACAGAACAGAGAATGCTGAACCTGGAGCATAATAAACACAGAACAGAGAATACTGAACATTGAGTGTAATAAACTCAGAACAGAGAATACTGAACCTGGAGCATAATAAACACAGAACAGAGAATGCTGAACCTGGAGCATAATAAACACAGAACAGAGAATACTGAACATTGAGCGTAATAAACTCAGAACAGAGAATGCTGAACCTGGAGCATAATAAACACAGAACAGAATGCTGAACCTGGAGCATAATAAACACAGAATAGAGAATACTGAACATTGAGCGTAATAAACACAGAACAGAGAATACTGAACATAGAACGTAATAAACACAGAACAGAATACTGAACATTGAGCGTAATAAACACAGAATAGAGAATACTGAACATAGAACGTAATAAACACAGAACAGAATACTGAACATTGAGCGTAATAAACACAGAATAGAGTATACTGAACATAGAACATAATAAACACAGAACAGAGAATACTGAACATTGAGCATAATAAACACAGAATAGAGAATACTGAACATTGAGCGTAATAAACACAGAACAGAGAATAATGAACATTGAGCGTAATAAACACAGAATAGAGATTACTGAACATTGAGCGTAATAAACACAGAACAGAATACTGAACATTGAGCGTAATAAACACAGAACAGAGTATACTGAACATAGAACATAATAAACACAGAACAGAATACTGAACATTGAGCATAGTAAACACAGAACAGAGAATACTGAACATAGAACATAATAAACACAAAACAGAGTATACTGGACTTGAAGCATAATAAACACAGAACAGAGAATACTGAACATAGAACATAATAAACACAAAACAGAGTATACTGGACTTGAAGCATAATAAACACAGAACAGAGAATACTGAACATAGAACATAATAAACACAAAACAGAGTATACTGGACTTGGAGCATAATAAACACAGAACAGAGAATACTGAACATAGAACATAATAAACACAGAACAGAGAATACTGAACATAGAACATAATAAACACAGAACAGAGAATACTGCCATCTTGTTGTATGGTCAGTGCCAGCCATCTTGTTCTGTGGTCAGTGCCCGCCATTTTTTTATGTGGTCAGTGCCTGCCATTTTGTTCTGTGGTCAGTGCCTGCCATTTTTGTCTGTGGTTTATGCCTGGCATCTCATTTTGTGGTCAGTGCCCGCCATCTTGTTCTGGGGTCAATGCCTGCCATTTTTTTCTGTGGTCAATGCCTGGCATTTTGTTATGTGGTCAGTGCCTGCCATTTTGTTCTGTGGTCAGTGCCCGCCATCTTGTTCTGTGGTCAGTGCCCACCATCTTGTTCTGTGGTCATTGCCCGCCATCTTGTTCTGTGGTCATTGCCCGCCATCTTGTTCTGTGGTCAGTGCCCGCTATCTTGTTCTGTGGTCAGTGCCTGTCATCTTGTTATGTGGTCAGTGCCTGTCATCTTGTTATGTGGTCAGTGCCTGCCATCTTGTTATGTGGTCAGTTCCCACCATCTTGTTATGTGATCAGTTCCCACCATCTTGTTCTGTGATCAGTTCCCACCATCATGTTCTGTGGTCAGTGCCCGCCATCTTGTTCTGTGGTCAGTGCCTGTCATCTTGTTATGTGGTCAGTGCCTGTCATCTTGTTATGTGGTCAGTTCCCACCATCTTGTTCTGTGATCAGTTCCCACCATCTTGTTCTGTGATCAGTTCCCACCATCTTGTTCTGTGATCAGTTCCCACCATCTTGTTCTGTGATCAGTTCCCACCATCATGTTCTGTGGTCAGTGCCTGCCATCTTGTTCTGTGGGTGGAATCATCTTTTGTGGTTTACAGTATCTGAGTGGAAATCACCTGCCTGGAATGTTCCCTATCTGGAATGTTCCCTATCTGGAATGTTCCTTATCTGGAATGTATTAATTGTGTGAGTCGTGTGTGTGTGGTGTTCAGTATGTGTGTGTGGTGTTCAGTATGTGTGTGTGGTGTTAATTAAGTAATGTTGTTGCTGTTTGTGTAACATCCAAATTCTTTGTCAGGTTCGCTGGGCTGACCTGGAGGAGAAGAAAAACCAGAACCGACGGAGAAACTTGGGATTTATCGTGGGGCAGACACAGCAGGACTGGGACCGAATCACTGACCATGAACTTGCCAACAAAGCCCTGAACCAGACAAAATATTTCTACAAGAATTAACTGGATCAGCTCATGGGACAGTCAGCACCTGGTCATCTGCCAGCAGGAGATTCCCTGACTGCTGTCTGGTCAGCAACTGGTCATCTGCCAGCAGGAGATTCACTGACTGCTGTCTGGTCAGCACTTGGTCATCTGCCAGCAGGAGATTCCCTGACTGCTGTCTGGTCAGCAACTGGTCATCTGCCAGCAGGAGATTCACTGAGTGCTGTCTGGTCAGCACCTGGTCATCTGCCAGCAGGAGATTCCCTGAGTGCTGTCTGGTCAGCACCTGGTCACCTGCCAGCAGGAGATTCCCTGAGTGCTGTCTGGTCAGCACCTGGTCATCTGCCAGCAGGAGATTCACTGAGTGCTGTCTGGTCAGCAACTGGTCACCTGCCAGCAGGAGATTCCCTGAGTGCTCTCTGGTCAACACTATCATCAGTTAGTTGGACTGAACACTGGCTTCCTCACATTGTTCCTGTGGTGTTAGATTGCTCCGGTTTGTGCTCATCTTCCAAAGGACAGGAGAAAGTGAACTGGTTCACTCACAACATGAATTTCTCATTTAAAGAAATGAATGAATTATTGTACAGACATGTTAGGTCATTGATATGGCTGAAGACAGAACTTCTGTCAAGTGTGTGTGTGTGTTTGTAGGACTTTTCCAGTCTTCTGCCTGCCTGCCTGCCTGCCTGCCTGCCTGCCTCAGGGACATGTCAGTTTATGTGTCCGTGTTGATGTCATGTGTGGTTGACAGGGTGTGGCTGGCAGTGTGGGAGATGTGGCTGATAATTGTATCATACGTGGGAGATGTGGTTGAGTGTACAACATTGATTTCAAGTGTGTGTAAATGTATATTAATTAGGACATACAGATTGAGGTCATCTACGTCTTATTTTGGTGTTTAGAGTCAGTATTACTGAGATATGTTGCAGCCTCACATATTGTCCCTGTTATCTTGCCAGTTGTAGGCCGGCACCAGAGAGTTTGAAGTGGAGCCTAAACCTTGCAGGCTTTGCTACAGACAGTTTGAAGTCGAGCCTAAACCTTGCAGGCTTTGCTACAGACAGTTTGAAGTCGAGCCTAAACCTTGCAGGCTTTGCTACAGACAGTTTGAAGTCGAGCCTAAACCTTGCAGGCTTTGCTACACACAGTTTGAAGTAGAGCCTTGGGACATGGATGCCATGGCTTGGAACATGGATGGCATAACTTGGGACATGGATGCCATGGCTTGGGACATGGATGGCATAACTTGGGACATGGATGGCATAACTTGGGACATGGTTTGCATAACTTGGGACATGGATGGCATAACTTGGGACATGGATGCCATGGCTTGGGACATGGATGGCATAACCTGGGACATGGATGGCATAACTTGGGACATGGATGGCATAACTTGGGACATGGATGGCATAACTTGGGACATGGATGCCATGGCTTGGGACATGGATGGCATAACTTGGGACATGGATGGCATAACTTGGGACATGGATGGCATAACTTGGGACATGGATGGCATAACTTGGGACATGGATGGCATAACTTGGGACATGGATGGCATAACTTGGGACATGGATGGCATAACTTGGGACATGGATGGCATAACTTGGGACATGGATGGCATAACTTGGGACATGGATGGCATAACTTGGGACATGGATGGCATGGCTTAAGACATGCATGGCTGTTGTGACAGTGTGTACTGGCTGCTGTGCATACGTTAAAGACATAACACAGCTTGAATGTTCTTTGATACAACCTGCAAGGTCGTCTGGGGTATTGAAGTCAGATATGGCCACGTTTAGAACAGCCTGACTGCAGTCAGATCAAGTAGGCCAACATGCGGTTACTATAGTTACGGTGTCAGATATTCCACACTTGGCCTAGTTATGATGTCAGATATTCCATGCATGGCCTAGTTATGATGTCAGATATTCCACGCATGGCCTAGTTATGATGTCAGATATTCCACACTTGGCCTAGTTATGATGTCAGATATTCCACACTTGGCCTAGTTATGATGTCAGATATTCCACGCATGGCCTAGTTATGATGTCAGATATTCCACGCATGGCCTAGTTATGATGTCAGATATTCCACACTTGGCCTAGTTATGATGTCAGATATTCCACACTTGGCCTAGTTATGATGTCAGATATTCCACACTTGGCCTAGTTATGATGTCAGATATTCCACACTTGGCCTAGTTATGGTCTAGTTACCACACTGGCCTAGTTACGGTGTCAGATATTCCACACTTGGCCTAGTTATGATGTCAGATATTCCACACTTGGCCTAGTTATGATGTCAGATATTCCACGCATGGCCTAGTTATGATGTCAGATATTCCACGCATGGCCTAGTTATGATGTCAGATATTCCACGCATGGCCTAGTTATGATGTCAGATATTCCACGCATGGCCTAGTTATGATGTCAGATATTCCACACTTGGCCTAGTTATGATGTCAGATATTCCATGCATGGCCTAGTTACGGTGTCAGATATTCCACTCTTGGCCTAGTTATGATGTCAGATATTCCACACTTGGCCTAGTTATGATGTCAGATATTCCACACTTGGCCTAGTTATGATGTCAGATATTCCATGCATGGCCTAGTTACGGTGTCAGATATTCCATGCATGGCCTAGTTATGATATAAGATATTTCACACATGGCCTAGTTACAATATCAGATATTCCACACATGATCTAGTTATGATGTCAGATATTCTACACATGGCCTAATTATGATATCAGATATTCCTTGCATGGCCTAGTTATGATGTCAGATATTCTACACATGGCCTAATTGCAATATGAGATATTCCACAAATGGTCTAGTTATGATGTCAGATATTCCACACATGGCCTAGTTACGATGTCAGATATTCCACGCATCGCGTAGTTACGATCATGTAGTTAACAGTATCAGATTTGGCTCAGCTTATACACCCTTGTCTGGTCATCATTTGGTATTTAGATTACAGATAAAACTACCGGGCCTGGCAATTCCTACCTGAGACCTCATTGATAGGTTGCCTCTGATTCATGGCCCAGCCTGGCAGTTGCTCCCTGAGACCTCATTGATAGGTTGCCTCTGATTCATGGCCCAGCCTGGCAGTTGCTCCCTGAGACCTCATTGATAGGTTGCCTCTGATTCATGGCCCAGCCTGGCAGTTACTCCCTGAGACCTCATTGATAGGTTGCCTCTGATTGATGGCACAGCATGTCGATGACCAGGATGTTCTGGTATGAGTTCTGTTGGTCGGTCAGACAGCTCTCCTGACTACTGTCCAAGACTTCTCCTGTGCCCTCTGAGCTTCTCCAGCTGGTCGCGGTTCTCTTTCTTGTCACAGATCTCCTATCTGTTGGCAAGACTTTCCTTTACTGTCACAGATGTCTCATCTGTTGGCAAGACTTCCCTTTACTGTCACAGATGTCCCATCTGTTGGCAAGACTTCCCTTTACTGTCACAGATGTCTCATCTGTTGGCAAGACTTCCCTTTACTGTCACAGATGTCCCATCTGTTGGCAAGACTTCCCGTTACTGTCACAGATGTCTCATCTGTTGGCAAGACTTCCCGTTATTGTCACAGATGTCCCATCTGTTGGCAAGACTTCCCGTTACTGTCACAGATGTCTCATCTATTGGCAAGACTTCGTTTGCTGTAACAAATCTCCTATCTGTTGGTAAGATTTCTGTTTGCTGTCAGAAATCTCCTATCTTTTGGTAAGATTTCTGTTTGCTGTAACAAATCTCCTATCTGTTGGCAAGATTTTGTTTGCTGTAACAAATCTCCCATCTGTTAATAAGATTTCTGTTTGCTGTCACAAATCTCCAATTTTTTGACAAGATTTCCATTTGCCATCTCAGATCTCCAAAATTTTGGAAAGACCTCCATTTCTGTCACAGATCTCTCATATCTTGATATTTTCTTTTGTCATCACAGATCTTGAATTTCCTGTCACTGATCTTCCAAACTGTGAAACTACATGAAATCTAGCAGTGTTGTGTCTATGCTTATATTTGTCTTGTGTTGGTATATTGTTGATATTATTGTCATTGTTGTTGTTACATTTTGTGGCTTTATGTGACAGATGACTGACACAGTGTCCAGCGGATTCATCTGTCTCTGCTATTTTAATAATTGCATTGATTTTTATTGTTAGCATCATTGTTGCATTTATCATGTGCTGACCTTGACTGGCAGGTTAGATGGTGCTTGTATGGTACAGTGTCTGCCTGCCCTGCCCTGTGTCTGATGTCATTGCTGTGTTGTATGGTGTCATGACTGATATGTTGTGTGCTACAATAAATATACTGTGTGTTGAACATTAGCTGCCCTGGGGTGTGGTATCGTGTAGAATGTGAGGTACACCGGCTGTGCTGTGTGTAGCGCAGTAGCTGTGCCATGTGTGGCTGTGCTGTGTGTGTGTAAACACTGACTGTCCGACAGCAAACTTGTACTCCCCTCTGTGTTGTTGAAATAAACATGTTTTTTTTTTGTTGTAAATTTCTTATTTTCTCAAATGTTTCTTTGAGTACTGGGGGAGGGACTGTGTCCTTGGTTTTTTTTTTTTGGGGGGGGGGGGCGGGACTGTGTTCTTGTTTCTGGTGGGGGGGGGGGGGGAAAGACTGTTCTTGTTTCTGGTGGGGGGGGGGGGGGTGTGTGATTTTTTTCTGAGGGGACAAGGGGATGGTGTTTTTTTCTGGGGCTTGGGGGTGTTCTTTTTTTCTGTGAGAATTAAGAAACTATGAGTTTTTTTGTGTGGGGGTGGGAGGGGGGGTTGCTCAAGAACTTGTTCTCATGTTGTGTGTAGCTAAAAGTGTCAGTAGGTTTCCTGTTATGGTATGATTTCTGACACTGGCTTGCCTCTACTGTCTATAAGCTTCTGTATGGCAGGGAGTGGTTTTGGGCTGATGGGGTCAGACATGTTGCATTCTCTAGACGAGTGAGCAAATCCCTCATATCACTACACAGGCAACAGCAGATTTCTCAAATCAAAACCAGGCAA